CGAAATGTGTGCGGTAGCCGAGCTACGGTCAGCAACTGCGCGCAGGCAGTACAGGAGGGTTGCGGCCTTGCTTCCAACAAAGGCCATACTCTTTCGGGTGTACGGTCATGCGGGAATCCGCCCCCACCAAGGATCGCTGAACTCACAGTTAACTTTTGGCTGGGAAGCAAGCAGCAGCGTGGGTCCTGAAACGGCCGACTTGCGGTCAGCAACTACAGAAGGGTGTAACAATGATGTGCACACACAATTGGCCACGTCAGCATCATGCGTCCTGGAACAACCAACCGGCAAGCAAAAGACAATACGAAAATGCAAAAACAAACCGTGCCCCGAGGTTTTGGGCGCGCCCATCGGCCACCCGCATTTCGTGCTCTCATGCACAGACGCCCGGGTGCGCACCGAGCAAGAGTTTTGCCACGCCTCCTGACCTAAGCTGCAGCACCTTCTTGCAGGCGGAAAGGTCCATGCAACCAAATAAAAAATCAAAAAGATGTGTGGCTATGTCAACCACACGCTACGTGCGGTGCCACTGCCCGACATTGCGGATTACGCCCAGGCCCATGACGATGCCACGTTTGTAACACTTGTGTAACGGCAAGCAAATCTCCACTTGTTGACGAGGCCTTATTGCGCATGGCCCGTGTTGAAAGCAAACCACATACCTGGCTGTGTGTCTAGGTGTGCGTTTGAGTCACCTGCAGTGTTGACATGTTTTCGTTTGATGACTCTGCTTGTCGTGTTCTGCAGCTCTGCATGTCATTGCGAACACGCTTTTTGCACATGTTGTGCTGCACGTTCAAGAGTTGACCCTCAAGCTTTCCAGTTGGTCAGCCAACAGTTGAGGGCCACCTCTGCTTGTTTGTCTCAGAATTTTGCCCCGCCCTCCCGCCGCAAAGAGGGTTGTGGGTTAACTTTTGTGTGCCAGGGGGTTTGTGTGTTTGTCCCCAGCACTGAGTGTCATTGCAGCTTCACATGCAAAGCATGTTCCTTTCGGATCTGCCCGACTCTATCGGCCTCGTGGCTGGAAAAGAAAGTCCGACGCGTGCGAGGGTTCCAGTCTGTGCATGGCTAGCTGCGCTAGTTGCATGGCCTTGGCTTGCAGGTGTTCTACACGCGGGTATTGCAATAAGGAGGCAGAGTATGCAGGTATCGCTAGAGGCGGTCTGGGCTTGACCTCTGCCCCGAGTTTTGTGGAAACCGGTGTCCGCCAACGCCCAACACCTAATTAGTTCTAGGAAAGCATAAAACACACACCCACCGTAGTTCTTTGTCCTGCAAGGACCGTACTCTTCATGACTCCAAGTTGCAAAGTGCACCAATTGGAAAGGGCACCAAAGTGCTGCATTTTGCCCGGCCCAATGCGCATCAAGATCACCAAAGTACCGCAAAGGGGAAGGCCGTTTGCGATGACCTCCCCCACGCGTTGCTGGTCCTGCCGCTAGACGACACGGTTGAGGTCACGCACACCCTTCGGATGCTACTTGGTCATGCTAGGTGCTCTCCGGCCCCGTCGTGCCTCACATGTGTTGGTTGGATTCCTTGGTCTTTCCATGCAGCACGTCTAAGCCTCCTGCACAGATCTGCACAGAAGTTGCGCAAACTCCTCGCAGATCTATACAATGCCCTGGCTCAGCTGTTTCCCGCGGCGAAGCTTGTGCCGGGCACATAGTCGACCTGTCTCACCAACACCTCGGAGAGATCCTCGTGGGAAATACTACATGACGTCTTGAAAAACTGGACATTTCCATTGGCTCATCAGGTCAATTTGGATTTGCGTCAAGTTTACGGGAGTGACGGTGAAGTCCTGCATGGGCTCGGGGACCTGCGGAGACACAACGAGACTTTGGGTGGTGATACGTTTGTGTTTGGTGCTTTGCGCACTGCAATCTCATGCACTTCCCCTGGCAAAGCGATTGTGACGCTGCGTCACAACATGTTTTCCTATCGCTCTTTGAGATGGCGACAGACTCCGTCACTGTGAACCTGTCGCTGCTTGCGTTGCGGCTCTTCACGGGTGGTCAAGGATTGCGTGCTGGTGTATGTCAGTATCGGAATTGCAGCTTTTGCGTGAAGCATCGGATGCTGCGAGACACTGCGTCACTTTATCAAGGAGTGCCCCTTGGGAGTTCACGTGACCTTGCCGAGTGAACTGTGTGACACGCATTGAGAGCTCGCCGTTGACATTACCCTGTTCTGCCCCGTGCGAGGCCGGTGGGTAGACCGCCAGTTCTGGTTTGCATCTCGCTCTGCGTGCCATGGAGAACCGAAACCGTTGAGCTCGTCCGCCACCTTGCACGCTCGTGGTCCGGTTCCATGCCACTGCCCAAGCGGCTCGCGTTTCGTGATCGTTGGTCCGCTATCTCGATTCCCGCAGCCGCACGAGCCTGGCCTCCCGCCGCCTGACGCAACCTTGGCCAAGTTCATTGTTTTTTTTTTCGCACCTTTTTCCGCCAGCTGGAAGGAGTCCCTTCGCTACGGCCGCTGGGGCAGGCGACTGTGGCCCTCAGGGGCAGCGTGGTGGATGACGCTGTCGAGCGGCGGGCCTTCGCCAGCCTCAGGTTGCAGCGGCTGCCGCCAGGCACCTCCAAGAGCCGTACTGGCGACTGCCTGCTGCACCGCGACCGAAAGCATGCTCCACCAGCGCCTCGCCCAAGCTGCTGTCGCTGCCGCGCGCACGGGGAGGGGGGCGCGGTACGCCTTGAGACGCACTAGGTCTCGCACGAAGCCTCGGGCCTGAGCGTTCCAGCGGCCGCCCGCCTCGGAGCCGAGCACGACGAGCGTTTGCGGCCCCCCTCGCGTGAGCTCCGGGTACGCGGCGTGCTTGCGGCGCTCAGCCACCCGCAGCACGGCTCCGTCCACGGCCGCTGCGCACGGCTGCGGGTGCCCCGATCGCGTGAGCGGGGAAACCAGCGTGGCGTCGCAGCACTGCGCCCCCCCGCTGCGCAGCGCCCCGTACACGACGAGGTCGAGTCTGCGACGGTCCTGCGCTCCGACCTGCGGGGCGGTGGTGTTGGCCAGCCACTGCTGCGGAACGACTTGACCTTCCGACCCCACCGCTTCCCGGGCGACCTGCACCCAGGCTCGCTCCACGATCTTGGCCTGCCTGGCGAGGAGTCCAGTGCGCGGGCACGCAAGTGCGTGGTCGCCAAAGCGGTTTTCCGAGGTATACCGTGACGTGTACATGGGGTTTTGTCAGTGGCTGTGATGTAATTTGTTTTTGTTAGCGCACCTGTCTTACGCTAGGTCACCGATGGGCACCTCGGCGCCTTCACTGGGCATCGTCGACGGCCGGCAACTCCAGCACAGTGGCTGCATGCGCCCGTAGCGCCGCCAGGGAGACGAGACCCGTCCAGCGGCGGACGCGCGCGCGCCCCGCTGCCCCCCGAGCACCACGGAGCCCGCGCTCCGCCTCCGCCGCAAGAAACCAAGCGCCTTTGCCTCTGCTCCGTAGCGTCCGCCCATTGAGGCCGAACACGACGAGGCGACACCTGCCACGCCGGTCGGGGCGGAACTCAGGGTAGGTGCGGCGTTTGCGTGCTGCTGCCTGTTGGAAAGCGAGTCCAGGCACAGTGTCGCACTTTGCGCGAGCTTGCCCGCTACGCTGGATTGGGCTGACGAGCGTGGTGTCGACAGCCACCTGCACCCCCCGCCAGATGGGCAATCTGTTGGCGACGACCGCTATGCGCCGCGCATCACTGGCGGGCATGTCCACTTTCATGTCGCGTAGCGCAGTGCTGGCGGCCACGCGTGCCCCTGCTTCTCGGCAAAAACTTGCCGCCGCGCGCTCCAGGGGACCAGCTCGGTGGGCAAGCGCCCCCGCTTGAGCGCACGCTGACGTCTCCATATTTCATTCAACGCCCCCCCACAGCGGCATCGCTGCGGTGCCAGAGGGAGCGGCATGCGGAGGCGGCGTAGGAGCATGATCCGGAATTCGTGGCTGGGGACGGCGAAATCCGGTCCTGTGGGCAGAACAGTCATTGCGCAGCTCGCGGACAGCAGCAGCGCTCGAGATGCTGGATCGAGGTCTGAAAAAAGCAACCCGAACGCGCGCTTTTCCACGGCAGCGCCGGCGTCAACGCTGCCAGCCTTTGCGCGTGGTTTGCGGGCCCCCACTGTCAGCCTTCGCTGCATGCGAGGGTGCGGCGCCATCGAGCAAGGACGTCGACGTGGGCGCCTCAAAAGCCTGCAGGCGCAGCCATGCAGCCGTGCACTCTGCCTCCCTGGTGCTTGGCGGCATGGCAGATGCCTCCCCGAGCATCGGGCGCAGCAGGTCCGCCAGCGCCTGCGGGTGGCACTCCTTGAGCGCCCCGATGGTGTCCGCCCACGACGCCCAGTACGCCGCGTGCGGACGTGCGGTAGCTGACGGCAACCCCAAAGCCCCCAATGCACAGTGGCAGGTGCGCTTGCTGCGTGCTGGCTGGCACGTCCTGCAGCCGGGCGAACAAGGCCGCATGTTTGGCGCGTGCCTCTTCCAGCGTGGCGGCGATGAACTCGCGGGTGCCGACAGGGCTGCCCAAAACGACCAGTCCTTGTTTCGCCGCCGGCAAGCTCCAGTCCCCTGTCATCATCGCATGCCATTTGCTGGCATGCTTCGTTTTGTTTAGGAACGACGTGTCGAGACAATATGAGACAATCGTCTGTGACTGCCACCGCGCGAAAAGGTTCAGGTTCTTTTCAGCATCGACGTCCGGGGTTCGCCGGATCTTGTGGCCCAAGCGCGTGCAAATAGCAACTTTCGTGTTCAAATGGTTGGTGCATATAAATATAAAAACAAAAAAACATACTGTATACATACATGCATACATACCGACATACATACAGACATATATTTACATACACATGCACATAGGCTACATGCTGGTTATCACTCCGCAAACGAATCGGCAAGATGGAAAGCAGACATGAGGCATGCCACTGTGTAACCATAGCGACCGTTTGGTGCTACGACATGGCTTGCAATCATTGCAAGTGTAGCCTTGCGTTCTGCGTGACCATGGGCCATGGTTTCGCGAATTATTGTCAAGAACTTGCCAAAACATGCCACAGATGCACGTTTGCGAGACGTGTTTGCGGCGGTCGGCGAGGTCACGGACTGCCGCATTCAGAGCCCTACATGTTTTCAACATTGTTTTTGTTGCCGCTGCTGCTGCTGCTGCTGCTGTTGTTGTGGTGGTTGTGGTTTTGGTGGTGGGTGTGGTGGGTGGGTGGTGGCAGTGATGGCGGCGGTACATGAACCTAGCCATGTTTACTGGTGACCACTGGTGAATTGTCTCAAGGAAACTGAAGGATGGCCGTTCGCGAAACTTCGCCTTTGTTGGCTTTCGGCAGCATGGCTGCACAACGAAAGGCGCTGGATCTTACACTTTTTGATGGTTTTGGTGCTTTCTCGGGTTGCGTGCGGGGGGGGGGCCTCGAGGAACGAGACCGATGCGCAAGAGGCAGTGAAGCAGCTGAACCGCAGTTTCTTTGACACTTCGAAAATCAGACTCTTTCCTGCACGAGCTACTGCGAGTCCGCTTTGATTCGGTGCGTTACCTCGGGTGAGATTCAAGATGACCCAAGGTGTTGAAATTGCCTATGCGCCGGGCTCTGGCGACATTGCGCGGCCATGGAGCAAGTGACCAGCCACGACAGACTGTTGTGGCATGCCTCGGCCATTCGCTAGTCCCTGCAAGATGCCTGCAAACAAAGCCGAATGGGCCGTACTCGTAGCGTCCTAGCGAGAAGTGAAAAGTCCAAGCACAGTAATGCAACAATTGATATTGCAAAAGGGGGCTGCAATCCGAGCCATGTCTCTTGCAGTTTGCCCAAGCGGCAACGCTCTACTTCGCATCAAGAACCTTCACGGCTTTTGGTCTGTGAGCAGGTATGCAGCTGGATCTTCGGCATATCAGCGGCGAGCTGAACGGACGGCCAACAAGAAGGCCAAGCCTCCAGGTGCTGGGGGAAGCGGTTGCGCAGGGGTCATGGGCATCATGGGCACGGAAGGGTTGGGGCTTAATTAGGGGTTGAGGAGACTGGCGCTTAAAAGGCTTAGGGGTTTAGGAGGCTTGTGATGCCGGTGGTGCGGGCCTGAGTTTCCCAGCAGCTTCACAGTCCTGATTTCTTGATTGCAAGATGCAACAGGGTTTAAGGTTTGGGGTTTAAGATTTGCGACGGTTGGGGTCAGTCAAGCATAAGTGAAGCGGCCATGCAAGGTGAAAGGCATGAGGATGGACAGGCGAACTCGAAGCCGAGTAAAACCAGTAGCTCCTTGGCGTGCACATGATCGTTTGCACAGAAGGACAAGGGCGAATGTTGTTTTTCCATGAACAGTTTCTGCAGGTGGCAGGAAACAGTGGGCGCCCACGAACGTGAAGGGCGCAAAAGTCATCCACACTGCCGGCATCAAGCCCACGAAAGCCGGAGTGAGTGACACGCGAGTGTAACTTGGCACCACTTGCTTGTCAGGGCCGAGAGATGAAGGAACCGAATGTCATGTCACCGAGGCATATGGAATTCGAGAGTAGTGCCTGAGATGCAGTTTGTCGTTTTCACAGTGTGCTGAATCATATCACTTCGAACCTGGTTCGATGTTTCTGGGGGCCCTCGTCGTGCATGTGCGGTCGCAGTGCCTGCTGCAGTGCCTCGTTTGAGAACGACAACCTTCGACAAACCGTGCACCGCAGGCGATGAAGAAGCTGCAACGAAACCGGCTACTTCGGAAGGAGGTCCTCCACATTCCCTCGCGTTCGACGAGGAGCTGGACGACATGGCTTATCTGAAAGTTGCTTGCCCGACTTCTGTTTGAATGCTGACGGTTGATCAAAGCCCATTGGATTTTGCAAGGTCTTTTCAAACCACCCAGAAAACCACAAGGTCTTAATGATTTGACAATACGGTACAATCATACCCTCTAATATGACTAACAATTGCTAATGGGAAGGACCTAGCCTGTGAGATTTCGTGTCGACATGATCTTGTTCTACTCATCGAGCTATTAAAGAGGTCTTGAGTAAGTCCCTATGTCAGTTCTTTTTGCGTATCTGTTCGTGTCGCTAGGCCCTAAACCCTAAACCGTATTGGCGGATACCATGGTCCCCGGTATGGGGGGGGGGGGGGGTGTCAGTGCAGCCCAGGCTAAGTCGCACGTGGCGGCCAAGGAGTCCAAACAGGACTCGGGGTGGCAAAATGGGAAAAGGGACTTCCATTCTGCTTTCGCAAACATACCTGATTAAGTTGGCCCAAACCCCAAACCCTAAACCCTACCCTAAACCAAACCCTAAACCCTGGACGTCACCATGTGAGTTCTTCGCCAGGGCCAGGTGCAGGCATTTTGTAGCCAGGCATGGCCTTGCTCAGGAGACATCAGGACACGAGCCTCCTTTGCCAGCGGCAGTGCCAAAGAAGCGTGCCAAAGGCAAGAAACGCCATGAGCTCAGGTGCCCCGAGGCCGTAACGGCACAGTGTTCAAAGTGCTCAGACTGTAGCTCAGCGAGTCATTGATCCGCGAAAGACGAGGTTTGAAGCAGCGGAACTCGACCACCGACAAAGGCAGGACGCTCCGACGTGTAACGAGCAAAGCTCACATCATTGCCAAGCATCTACATTGAGGCAGCTGCTTCCATGCTAGGAGAAGAGACGAAGGAGGGTGAGCCCAGTCCGGTAGCCGATGCCGTGGACGCTGCTGCCGCGGCGGATGCTGCCGCCGCTGCGGACGCAGCGGCGGCTGAGGCCAGCAAGGAAACGGCAGGACCTCAGGGGTTGAGATTTCGATGGCTTTAGGGGTTTTTACTTTGTAGACTTCCTGAGGCTATTTTTCTGGTGCATCCTCTCTTGAAGCCCCCCTGCCTGGCGCTTTCTTATTCGCCTCCCCTTATCAAAATGTCTAAACTCTGGAGGGCGCCCTAAGCCAGAACCTTTGCACCCGAAACACCCTATGGCAATACTCCTGAGCCTGATACCTAACAAAACAACCCCCAAAACCCCCCCCCCCAAAAAAAAAAAAAAAAAAACAGAAACAAAAAACAATTCCCAAAACCCCAAAACTCTGAGCCCGAAGCGCAAGAAGCCCCTCAAAAGCCCCAAGAGAACATCCCCCTGAGCCCGGGCCAGGAGCGGACCTGGATGATCTGGAATCCACCGGCCGTATCTTGGCGTCAGCATATTTTGCTGAGGGGGACTGGGTCCTTTTCACGAGCTGTGTATTGCTTCCTGGCGGGATGTGCCGCTGTGAGACTTGATTGGCTGTTATTCCTCAGACTTGCTCACGAATGCCAGTCGGTCCTGTTTCCGGACTGTTCTATTGGCGAACCGAGGATTGTATGTGACCAATCTGCCCTACGGAGCCAGCGAAGACGAGATTCGAGTTCACTTTGAGACCCTGGGAGAGGTCCAGGCCGTCGTTGTTTGCAAGGACCAGCACCGGCAGGATTCGGGTCTAGGAACAAGAGGGTTTAGGGTTTAGGCTTTAGGGTTTAGGGTTTACCGTGTTCCAGAGGCCTGGATGCAAAAAGGTCAGGAGGAGACCAGAGGCCGGAAGCAAAAACAAGGTCACGCCACGTGGTGTGGCGATGCTCGCATGAGTGCTGCAATTGGGGGCTGGGCAATAGGGGCAGCAGTCGAGTCCCTTGTGGACGAAAAATGTGTTTCCAACAAACCTTTGTTATTATCTTATTTGGGTCGTCGCTGGGCCCAGTGGCGCGCCCACAAAAATGGGCGCCGTGTGGCATCTTATTCAGGCGTGAGACACATGCCCGCAGCAAAAGGGCTTTAATTAATGGCAACTACATAACCTTGCCTCGCATTGTACATACCACGGGTGGGGCTCGCCAATGGTTTCCGCCGGTCGTCAGCAAGGGTCCAAGGAGGCCTTCTGAACGCTGCACATGTTTCTACATCCGGGTGCTGCAATCTTCGGTGGGCTCATGGCTTCCTCTCTGCTGTCCCCGGCCATCTCGCAGGACGAGGACTCCTTGAAGTCCCGCGGCTTCGGTTACGTCACGTACGTGTATCCTGGCAGCAGGAGGATCATTTCTTACTAGGTTTGGTGGGCTTTCGGGCATGGGTTGCGGTTCAGGTTAGGTCAGGTTTGTTGGGCCTTCAGGAATTTCAGGATGCAGAGAATACGCAGAAGGGTCATGGTAAGATGGTGCAAGAGCTTCGTTGGCAAGGGCAGAGCGAAGAGACAACACCCCTGAGCACTTCTCTTTGGGGATCATTCTAATTGGGGTCCCACCTGTGGCGGTTTTTGGGTCATTGGGGCATTTTGACAAGGAATTGGGACAAGGAATTGGGATCGTAACTTCAAAAAGCCCCGGATGAAGCTGGCTATGCGATTGTTTCTCGGCTCCAGCCAGTTATACAAATTCAGTGTTTCTGCAACTTCGATCCTATACCCTAAAAACCCTAAACCCTAAGCCCTAAACCCTGCGGAGTGGTTCGTCCAGCTATGCGGGTGCCAAAAGAAACCTAAACCCTAAACCCTAAGCCCTGCACCCCCCCCCAAGCCCTAAGACTGTTCTGGCGCGGAAGCTTCGTACCGGGGTCCATCAAAGCTGTGCCATGGACGTCGGCCACTGTTTCCCACCGGAAGTCGGCGGCGTACCCCACCTGCATATCCTGGCATTTGCATGTAGGGTTTAGGGTTTGGGGTTTAGGGTTTGGGGTCTAGGGTTTAGGGTTCAGGGCTTTAGGTGCTGGATTGTGATAGGTTTGTGGCTGCGGCGGCTGTGTCGAGGGTGTCTGCAAGCCTGATTCTGGTTGTTGAGTCCCTTTGCTTTGCCAACGGGCTGTCGGGATCTTCTTGGGGTTCCAGATGGGATAGCCAGGTTAACTTGTTTTTCGTCCTTGACTGTTGGAGAATAGGAGTTGGGTTCAGCTTTTTTGTCTCCCTGTCTGTCTCTCTCTTTTTTACTCCTTCTGAATTTTGCGTGCTCTCTGCTCTCTCTCTCTCTGCTCTCTCTCCTCCTCTCATTTCTTCGGAAGTGAGGTCTTTGGGGTTACTGGGTTCAGGACTCTGCAAGCCGACTCCCCAAGCCCCGATGCAAAAGGACTCTTGCAGATACAGCCAGAATCATCCTGCTCACTTTTCCATGGTTCAGGGAGGAGAAACTTTGGCAGCTTTGTAGAGAGTTCAAATGCTCCTTAGGGCCGCAAAGCATACAAGCTCGCCGAGCTCGGCTTGAGTTGAGTCTTGCTCTAGCAGGTGCGCTCCCATGTGCCTCCAACTCCGTCTCTGTCTCCATGCTCGATCGCTCGCTCTCTCTCTCTCTCTCTTTCTCTCTCTCTCTCTCTCTCTCTCTCCCGCGCTCTCCTTCTTCCTTCTCCCCCTGCGCCCCGCGCGCTCACCCACGGCATCCCTAGCACTGGCGCTAGCTTTCGTTGGCCTCGGCTTGGCCCTCACGTGGCTGAAGTGTTCAGTTTTGCCGATTGCTGGCTGTCCTTGTTTTTTTTTTTTGGGACCTGGGCACAGCATGTGGTGTAAGAGCCGTGCGGCAGGGTCGTCGCATCGAGTTGACCGTCAGCCTGCTCTCAGGCAGGGCCTTGTCGCTTGTATTCCCAGGCTCAGCTTCGAGGTTCTGTGCAGGTGATGGAGGTCCCAAGTATACGAGGGGGGCCCATTAGGTATATCTAAAGTCGAGTGAGAGAGGCCCTCAATCTGCAACTTCTTGCAACATGAGAGAGGCTTGAGGTCTTTTGACTGTTTAGTCAGTATAGGCCGGTGGCTCCTTCCGACATCTGCAGCACAGGCAAGAGCCTCTGCAGCATTTTCGTCGAGGATTCCTTGAGTGCGGAGCACGTCAAGCTCCATGTCGAGGAGGCGGCGGAGGAGCCCGGAACGATTGTGAGCCAGCTGAACCTTGGGCATTCCTTGCAGATCAAACAAACCCTAAAAGGGTTTAGGGTTCACATACCTTAATGGGGAATTCTAGTAGCTATTTTATGACCCCAATCGTTAGGGTTCATTTGACCATCGCATGGGTCCCTCTTCGCTTGTAGATGACGCACTGCTCAACATGGGGTCCTACATGATCTCGAAGACAAAGCTCAGGATCTGGGGTGACGTCATATTGCAAGGCGTGCAGACCCTGCGAGACTGGGGGATGTCTTCGCGTGAGCAGCTGGTGGCGATCTGCACCTGCGTCCTCGATGGCGAGTTCGAAAGCTACGAGCCCGGGAATACCTGCGAGTGCTGCTTCGGCTGCCGCGAGAGCCGGCTGCTCTTTCGCCCCGATGGAACCGGCATGTACTGGCAGGCCTTCATTGACTCCTACGAGGACGATGTTGATTTCACGACGGAGAGTGGTTGGGGATTTCATTACTTTCCTGGAAGCTTGCAGGAAGGCCTGAGTGGGCTCGAGAGATGTATCGAGTTCGTCTGGGACGGCGATGCTCATCGCCAGGCTCACAACGCGGACCTCTTGTGGGTCCAGCAAAACAGGCAGCGCCCATGTTTCCACACGGCGGCCTTGATCCTCCACCCTTCGGACGTCACGCGATACCGGGTGCGGGTTGGGCAAGCAGTGTTCGTGGATGTGCGTCGCATGGACAGGCGCGGCCGCGACTTTCGGGATGCGATGGCTGATCTGCGCATCCTCCGTGCTGGGCTCCTGCCGGAGCCAGAGGAGCTTAGCACGGATCCGTGGGTGGACGCCACGCCGCCGTGGCTCCACTTGTTGGATGACTTGAGCCTTTGCACACACCGGAACCAGGCAGGTCATAATGAAATCGATTCTTCTCTCGCCTGCTCTTCAAGATCAGCCTCTAGCGCTTTTCATATGTAAGAGCAAATTCTTTATATCTTCGCTCAGCCCCTTTTGAATCCCTTTTCCCCGTGCTGTGCTGCAGGCTGCCTGCAAACGCCGACGCCCAAAGCCCCAGCTGCAGAAACCGATGGAGGCCGCTGCGCGTGCGATGCAGCTGCACCGGCTGGCACGGCGCCGGGCCACTGCAGAGCGGGGCCGGGCGCGGCAGCAGGACAGGGATGTCGTGCGCTGCATGCTTTGAGTTAGTTAGCAGGGATTCGAGAATGAATCGTCACAAGAGCGTATCTGGACACCGGACACTTGTATAGTGTACAGGCATGACATGTCCAGGTCCACCGAGATGTACAGATCGTGCAGTATTGCACTATGTGCCGAAAAAAGTCTCTGCAGGTGCTGTGGTGCATCAACATGTCCTGAAGATCAGTTTCGCTAAGCCTGAGGCAGAGTAGCTGGTAGTGGAAGAGCTTGTGTTCCACCAGAGTCCAGGGATGACATAGCTGAAGTCGACATGCTGGCCAAGGTTTCCAGAGTGCGCCGTGAGTTCCCCAGCTGCATGTTCTGAGCAACGGTTCTCTGTGGCGTCTTGAAAGGGTGGCTGGGGCGTCCTAAAACCCAACAAACTCAATGCAACAAATGCCCGACTCGCGCCAGCGCGGGTATGATCTGAAGCCTGTTCGGGGCTTCACACATGCGGGATCGACAAATATCTTGGCCAGATAAGAGCCTAAACCCAAAGGCCATAGGCCTTCGAAGCCCTGGGTGGGCGTAATAGCAATTGCTATGATTGTTAATCCTACAGCTTAACAAGCAGAAGAAGCCACAAGCCCAAAAACCTAGAGGCCCCAGAACCTAAACCCTAAATCCTAAACCCTAACCCCTAAACCCTGAACCTACACCCCTAAAAAAACAAGAAGCCTCCAAAAAGCCCCAAGCCCCAAAGGAGCACTGGCTGAGTTGGATGTGAAGTCCTTCCAGGGTCGGCTTCTGCGCCTGGCAGCGGCTCGGCAGAAGCCAGTGGAGGACGGGGCCATGCAGGGTTCCAAGGGTTCCATTCCATGAGGGCCAGATTCGAAGTGTTTGCATAGAATCGTTGTTCCTGCTCTGGGAGCCTTTCGATACCACGTTGCCTGGCAGTCGCGCAGGATGCGACGAAAGGAGCTGAGGCGGAGAAGGCCAGTGGGCTTGCTGTGGAGGGGCGGGGTGAACATAGATTCTGTCATGGAACAATTTAAAGATACTAGAGTATGTGAAGTGCCAATAGCACAGCTTCAACAAATTAACAGAGAGGATTCAGAGGCGGGGTTTGAGGGGTTTAAGGGACTTGCCTTCAAGCACGCCGCTTTTCGGCTGTGTGTCTCCTGCGAAGCCCCAGCTGGCCGGCAATTTTGCAAGTCCTTGCTCATCTGGGTTTTTTTGCACCGTAACACTTCCCGTGGCAACACTGCAGGACGCTGTGAAGAGCTCGTAACGTTTGTTTTGTGTTGCTCAGGGTCGGCCCTGTGCCTTATTGCCACCCTGGCTTGTGGGCCCCAGCTCTCGAGCCACGTGCACACGAATTCTAGGCCCCCCCTCCATGGTGAGGCGAAGGGTGGCACTTCTTCGTACAAGCGCCACTTGGATATGCGGGAGCATGTCCAGTTCGCCCAGCGGGTTGGAGTTCTGGCCTTGTAACCTCACATCATCGTCATGTGTCGTGATCCACATCCAGTGGATGATGGCTTTTGCAAGAAAGTGCTTTGTTCGCATCGACTTTTGGATGCCACTCATGCCTTCTTTCAAGACACTACTTGCAGCTGGTTATTTGTACCATGCCGATAGCCGCACACATGCAACACTCATCACGGCCTCGGTGGCAACTCTGCTCCATGACTTGTGCCGGGCCCAGGTCGGCTGGACGAACCTGGGCTTCGATTTTTGTAGGGTTTAGGGTTTCGGGTTTAGGGTTTAGGGTTTAGGGTTTAGGAGATTCGAAGGTTTAGGTGTAGAGTTTAGGTTTGCAGGGCTTAGGGGTCTGGCAGCCAGCAAGTCTGGAATCCGGGAGGGTTGAAGCCTGTTGCAGCAAGGTTTCACGGATTTTTAGGGGTTTAGGGCTGGAGGCCTCTCAAAAAATTGGCTGCCCCCGCTTGTTTCTTGCTCCCTTCGATGATGCTGTCAGACTAGAACCGAGTGCCGCGCTCAGCTTGAGGAAAGGAAGAAGAAAGTCGATGCGCATCTGCAGCATACCTGGAATTTGCTGTACATCTCCGCGAACTCCGCGGCAGATGCTGCCTCGGCACAGCTGGGCGTCTCGAAGAGCGACCTCTTCGGCAAGGATGCCGAAAATGCAGCCGTGCCGTGGCAGCGATAGGACGAAAGCATCTGAAGGTATCTGTTGGGATGTAGGGGCACATGCAAGCCCCGGCATGTTGGGGAGGTCACGGCTGCCCTAACGGAAACATCCATTATTCAGCAGACGCCTCTCAGATGCAGTGGGCATGGTGTACATGCTGCCGGTATGCCAAAGCCATTGCAGTTTCTACTTCTCCGCTCAGGAAGAAGTGGCTTCAGAGGGAGGGCATTCGAGTGGATGCCTTCGAGCAGAGGGGCACAGCCCTGACAAACAGCAAAGCGATCGTGGCTGACGGAGTGCAGCGGCGCGACGACACCCTCATAGCCTTTTGTCTGTATTAAGGGTCTCAGTCAGACTTGGACCCTTCGCTGTGTGCAGTCTCTCAAGAGTGGAAACCACGAAGGCCACGATAGCACCCCCAAGCGTCCTTGAGCAGAAGACGAGGTGAAGCACCTGCCTGCCGCCACAAGCGCGGGCGAGCTGCGGGAATCCTGCCTGTGGCGGTTGAGAGGGATTGAGGGATCTTGAGCCCTTGGGTTTCTTCGACTCGGTGGGCTGTAGGCTGCGAGGGGCCGCATGCACCATGGAAAGCCCAGAGGAGCGCTTCGCACGGTTCGGGGCCCTGGTGCGCTGCTCGCTGGCGCCCTCGGGGACGGCGCGGAGGGGCTCTTGCGATCTGGAGTTGTTTCGTTCAGGTGTTGGGGGGTGAGGTTGTGAACTGCATGTGTGGCACTGTAGACCAGAGCTGGGAAGGGAAAGCCATGCAAGTGCAGATGCTTGTGCAAAAGTGCATGAGGATCCGCATAGGGATGCTTGTCAGAATCCATGATGGCTCGGCTCTTGGTGCTAGGCTCTCTCCTAACCGGCCCTGAGGGACACCGAGCCTTCATTCAAAACAGAGTTGGTGCTCTATAATGACCTGCCGGTCACAAGCTGTAGCGAACATTAGGGGGCATCTTTGCCCTGTCCTAGGTGGCCGTCGTGCAGTATGCGGACAAAGGTCGCTGCCCCAGAAGACTTTGGGGGACTTGCAAACGACTCACGCTGGTTGCCAAAGCCAACACCCCGCACCACAAGCATGCATGAGCTTTCTAAGCCTCCGACTGTAGTCTATGGAGGGCTGCTGGGGCAAAGGCCCTCTGCCTGGGCCTAAACCCTAAACCCTAAACCCTAAACCCTATACCCTAAACCCTAAACCCTAAACCCTAAACCCTAAACCCTAAACCCTGGTGACCTGTGATGACTCTGCCTCCAAAAACAGGAGCCGCCTCGCGGGCCTTCCAGAAGCTCGCCTTTTCGCGCTTCCGCACCTGGACTGGAATAGCTCCCGAGCGACACGAGAGGTTCGAGCGACCTGAACGCCCCACAAACCCCACACTCCACACCATGTTGACAATGTATATATGTAGAGACGGAGACACATATGTACATACACCCATATATATATATATATAGGTATATATATATATATATATATTTATAGATATACATATGTATACACGTATGTATGTATGTATGCATGTATGTATGTACGTATGTCTATATATATAGATATGTATTGATTCTACATGTGTGATACTCGTTTTAAGCCTTCAGCCGCAGTACAAAAACGTCAGGTCACGTGCCGCTCTACTTGGAGATGGCGCCAGAAGACGTGCGGCTGGGGCCTGCACAGGGGAATTTGGTTGCGGTGATGGTTTTTGTAGTTTTTGGTTTTGGCGTGGGGGGGTTGTGGGGTTTCAAGCCTTTCTGTGGAAGAAACCAGTAGAACATGGTGCGAGCAGAGCTTGCCGGCTAGCTTGAGACCCATTCTTAACCCTTAACCCTTAACCCTTAACCCTTATCCCTTAACCCTTAACCCTTAACCCTAGCCCTTAGCCGCCCTTAGCCCTTAGCCCTTAGCCCGTGAGGTTTACGGAGGGAGCTGCGACGGCACCGGAAGAGAAGGAAGCCACCGAGGAGGCGGCAGAAGAGGTGGATGAGGACCTCTTGATGCGGGTACTATTGGAGTAATGACAATAAGAATAATAGTAATAACAATAGCAATAAGAATAATAACAACAATAATTGCAATAATAGTAATAACAACAATCATAATAATAATAAGGATCATCATAGTAAGGTTTGGGAACCATTGCAAGATTACTTCCTTAGCGGTCGTGTGGCAGCGCTCAGGCTGATGAATGGAAAGTTGTCAAGAGCTCTGGAATCGTTCAGGGAAGGGCGCAACACAGCGTCGCGTGCTCCTGAATCCTCCATTGAGCCTCATCTTCGAATGACTTTCGGTTAGAAGAGTGGGCTGTGTCTTGCGGCAGGAGTCTCGAGGCTATCTTTTCGCAGCTTGGCTGAGACTGTCATGGTACCCTGTGCCACTTAGGGCTTGGGGAGCAGGGGATGGTGGAAGCAAGGGTTTAGGTGAACAGCTCCTGCATTGCAGCTCTCAAAGCTCAAAAAAAGGGAACAACCCCGTGGTTTGCTCAAGCGCTCCACCAAAGTGTGGCCACAGTGCAGCTCCGCGGGTGGCCCCAGCACAATTCCCCTGAGGTCAAGAACTTGAGTTTCTCGACCACGGAGGATGGCCTCAAGGCTGTGTTTCGCAGCTGTCAGGGCTTCCGCTCGGCCGTCATTATGCGCAAGAAGGCCCGGCAAGGGGTGCTGGGTTTGGGTTTTGGATGGTTTTGGGACGTTTTGGTCCGATGTGTCCAAGCATACGCACACAGCACTTGGTGGGGAGACCTTGGGGGGTGTTGGTTGGCTTCAAGGATGAAGAGACCCTTCAACGTCAAACCTCAATTTTTTCAAGCCTCGGCTGATTAATGGTAGGTGTATGGACTGTTGATGGGGACTTAAAGATACACTGGAAGAAGCCCTGTAAACATCCCTGCGTGGTGGATTCGCTCCAGCTGTGCAGGAGGGAAAAACACCCATGACCCCCTTGTGCTTTTTAATCCTTTGGTTGGGGTTCTGATGTTTGCGATGCGTCAGGGGCAAGCTTCCCGCCGATTCCACCCCACATCACAGGCCGCAGTGAAGAAGGGCGCCAAGGCCGCGAAAGAGGACGCGAGAGCCGACCTAGGGGTGCTCGTATTCTAGGGACCTTTGTTTACCTGGGCAACCTTGTCTTTCCCTTCGGACCCGTAAAACCCTTAAAGCCCTGCAAACCCTTAACACCCTCAAAGCCCTCCCTTAAAACGCTTAAACCTTCAAACGCTCGGGTCTCGGCCCACCGGCTGCCGAAAGGTTTGCTGGCATTGGTTGGTTTCGATTGGTTGCTGGCAATGGGGCTACATGATCGGCGGGGCTTTGAGCGTAGGATTTTTCGTGTGCGTGCAGTTGATGGTCCGTCGACAAATCTCAGAGCCCTCAACGTGACAGCCAGAAGCCGCAACCCGAGGCCCCAAGCCTCAACCCCGAAGTCAACTGTCCCAGCCTGGTAGGGGAGGCACAGCAAAAGAAGCCCCTAAACCCTAAACCCTAAACCCTTGAACCCTTTGATGAGAGGACAGCAAGGGCCTCTCCATGGGCTACGGCTTCCTGGAGTTCGAGACGGCGGCGCAGGCTGGCTTGGAGGGTGCAGGGGCTTTCTCAAAGGGCCAGTGCTTGGAGGTTCATGGCACTTGTTCACCAATTATAACTGTACTTATAACTTATGACTGTACTTATAAACAATTGGTAACTGTACTTCTAACCTATAACTGTACTTATAACCACAGAAGTACCATGCACATCCAAGTAGGGCCGTCCTCAGCCTCCACTGTCGTGTGCAGGCGGCCGACGTCTTGAAGCGCAAGCAGGGCGTGGCCTGGCGGAAGCAGGAATGTCTCTGCTGCGCAAGAAGCCCTACCAAGCGCTCAGGGTAATCCTCAACTTTCAGGTGCCCAAGCAGTGCTTATAGTATAGCGAGGCGATGATCGATGGCCACGCGGTGCAGCTGCAGATCTCACAGCCCCTTGGCCGCAGGTCATGTGACATCGGAGTTCGACTTCGCAACTCGATGAAAAAACGAAAGGCCCAACTCTCCCCCAGCAAAGATGTCCTTCCGGGATCCCAGGCGTGGGACCCAGACCTCTCGTCGCGCCCCGACTGGCAAGGCGAAGGCGAAAGGCCCCCAAGTCCAGGGTCGGAGTTGAGACGCCAAAAGAGCCGAGGGCGCTGCGCCCGCAGCGTCCGGCGGGCCCAAGAAGGGCGGCTTCGGGTTGAGGGCGCAGGGTCGTTATTTTGTTGGTTCCTTGTTCGTTGAATGACAGCCGACGAACTTGCGCTGGTTGAGAACAAGCAGTTGCTCCGGGGTGAAGAAACGGGTGCTCCTCCAATTGGAGTTCAGAGACAGGCCTGTTGCAGCGAAAAGGGCTTGAGGGTGCAGCGAAAAAGGACAACAAGCGGAGCGACACTGAGAGAAGATGCAAATAGGGGGTTTTCATGAGGATGCTAATAAACCGCAAGCCCTAAACCGCTTGTTTTAAGATGCCAAGTGCGAAACCCTAGACCCTAGACCCTAGACCCTAAACCCTAAACCCTAAACCCTAAACCCTAAACCCTAAACCCTAAACCCTAAACCCTAACCACCCGGGCTTGGCCCGGACAGGAATCAAGTCTTCGAGCATCTGCGTCAGAAACATCGCCTTCGAAGCCACCAGCACCTTGTATGCACAAAAGGCAACCCTAAACCCTAAACCCTAAACCGTAAACCCTAAACCGTAAACCCTGAACCCTAAACCCTAAACCCTAAACCCTCAACCCCAAACCCTAATGGTGAGGCCCCTACAGTGGCAGAAGCTTCCGCGGTGGCACTTGCCACATCCTAATGCCAGGCGTTAGTCCTTCTGTTCGGTCTCGGAGAGTACGCCCCCAAGCCTGAAGGGTGGCCAAGCAAGGGTTTCAACCTTAAAACGCGCCAGGTTCTTAGTAGGGAAAAGTTGGGACTTCCCGAGATCCCCCGAGAGAGCTACGGCCCACGAAGCCCTCGAAACCCTAACCCCTCATCCCCCCCCAAGCATAACCCTCAGGGAAGGAGCTCTACCAGCTCTTTGGTGCCTACGGCACGGTCACCTCCTGCCGGCTGCCCAAGAAGTCCGACTACTCGGGCCACCGAGGCCTCTGGGGGTTTGGAGGCCTTTTTTGGGTTTAGGGTTTGGGGTTTATTGGGGCAAGAAGGCGAGGATAGGCGGGCAGCAAGTCCAGCTTCAAAAAGGTTCATTCAGAATATCCCCTGCCTTCCCGCCTACTTACATAGCCACCTTGAGTACTGACTTCAAAGGCCAATGATGTTGCTCTTTGCGTCCTGCAAAGTCCGCTGTGTGTATACTGCAAGCCTTCAAGCCGAGCGCAATAGACTCAGTAGACTTCGACTCCTTCTGCCAGCCATGTCTGCTGGTGGCAAGCGCTTTCGGTGGATCGCTCTGGCAGTTGCACTAAGCATAGCTACATCTCTGGCAAGACAGCCGCTGACCTTCAGCCGAACTCGGGGCGGAAAGTTGCCGAGCAACTTCTACACATCAGCAGAAAGCCAAAATCCGACGAATTACAAGTTGACAGAGCAAGACAGATCATTATTGCGGGAGGTCCATAAAGCTGCAAATCGGCGACAGTGGCGCGAGGTCCAAGCGCTGCAAGGGTCCGCGACTGTCCCCAAGACTCCGTTTTTCAACGCCGAGATGAATGCGGCGCTGAAATGTCGCAAATACCGGGCGGGTGCAGCCCTGTAAGCTCCCCGCGGAGATTGTCACTTACAACCTGGCCATGAAGCTCTTTGCCAAACTTGGCGACCGGGAGCGTGTCCAGCAAATATGGCAGGAAGCCTTGGGCAAGTACCGGATGGACGCGACCATGGCAGCGGCAAGGTTGGTTGCTGCAGCTGACGATGCGAACACGAATGCTGCCATCACCATGCTGGAGGAGATGGCGCAGGCGAGGGTTCAAGCCGACGTCGGTCACTGCACCTCAGTTCTCCGAGCATGCGAGACAGCGAGGCAGGGAGGAGCCGAGGCTGCGAAGCTCGTCTTCAAGCGAATGCTCAGTGCAGGCTTGACACCAGACCTCCGGCTCTTCACGATCATGGTGCAAACGCTTGAAGGAGAGCCTGTGGAGGACCTGCAGGGATTGTTCAAGGAGATGCAAGAGCGGAGGGTGAAGCATGACCACATCTTCACGGACAAATACTTGAAAGCCGTGCTGTCAATGGGCAAAGTACGTAAGGTCCCCATGAACAAGCTGGCTGGTCGCTTGAGCCAGGTGTCAGCTGCACGCAAGAAAGCGGCAGCAGCAGCTCTTTCTCATTTCAAGTCTGAGGGGGATCTCTCCAGTTTTGCCCAGAGTGTAGAGATGGTATTGGAGCAGCAGGGTGTGGAAGTCTGAGGACGGGGCTCAGGTCCGGCGTGCGGTGGCCCATACTAATTAGACTTCGCTGACGGAGTTTTTGAAGACAACATGCCCCCAAAAGCAAGCAGCCTAGGGGGCACATTTGTTTGGTTTTGCTTGGGGTGGCAGCGCGGTGTTATGACGCAACTGTGGCGACGGATGCAATTCCATGCTGAACTTTGAGATCAGCTGATGTTCCTGTCAAGCCTTGAAGACAAAGCTACTTGACCAGTTGCGTTCTATGAGATCCACTTTTGTTGCCCACGTTGCTTAGCCAGGACTGGATTATCGCCGAGTATTGATGCGCTGATGCACAACCAGTCTGGCAAAGCCTTGAACCTCAAGAAACTGTTTGGATGAGTTGCGTGGGTGGGAGGTAGATTTGTATTCCCCCAATGGCCTCCTCCAACATTTTGTACATTCCTTCTTGCGCAAGGTATGGCCCCGCACAGCGCCCTTGCGTGTTGAAAAAGAACCCAAAAAGGTCCCCAATAGGAAGAAGCACGACGCTGGTGAGAATGCAAGCCAGGGAGCTGAACGCCGTAGAGCTAGAGTTTGGTTCGACGACTTTCCTTAATACTATGGGCCCGTTGTGTAGGCTAGCGACCCGCATCCTGCTAGGCTTCGCCTTCATCGACTTCGCGTCGCGTGGCGAGGCGGCCGCGGCTTTTGAGGCGTGGGGGGGGGGGGGGGGGTCTTCGCTCAAGTTCCCGCAAGGGGTGGCTTATTGCATACCAGGGGCCGAGTAAACCCCAACCAGGGTTCAAACTGAAATGTAGCCATGCGGATCAGAGAAGTTACCTCAAAAAACCTCACAAAGAACCAAAACGAACTTCAGGGCCAGCTGAGGGGCGCCTTTGGGAATTGTGAGATGTTGGGAGACCCATGTTCTGAGAAGTCCTTCCATCCAGCGCCGGCCCCGACCCCCCAATAAGACAACCCTCGCGCCCCTAAGCTTCAGACAGAATCTTGTCTCCTGAAGCCGTGAAGCTGCAGAGAAAAGCAGCTAAGCTTGAACCTTGGCTTTAAAACCCCTCCTAGGCTTAAGGAACTCGAAGATACCAAGGCCCAAAAAAGAATCTGAGGTGATTCTTTCGGGGGTTTGCGATATTCGGGGTACCTTATTGGGGGGTCCCTGTTCTAGCTATTTAGGGGGCCTAGTATAGGGCTACCTTATTTTCGCAAACTCCCTTTTAGTTTCTGAGGGGTTGCCATCGAGCCTCGCAGGCGCTTCAGCACAGCCACCTCTATGGACGCTACCGGGCTGCAGTGGTTTGGTCTGCCGTGAGGCCTCGGGGCTCTACGTGAGGAAAGGTACCTTGCTCTGCTTGAAGCGGGGTAGTTGCAAGCAGGGTTAGCAGACTTCAGAGGCATCGATGAAAAAGGGTTAGTAAGGTTGCCTACGTGGACATTGTAGTACATAACCATCGGCCTTCACGTAGACCTAAGACTATCCTAAGACTTACATGCCGCAGGCAGTGGAAGGTCAGATAGTAGGGAAAGTGTTGGGGCTTTGTGTCGCTTTTTTGCTGGGCTAGCGGGTGTAACCATAGGGAAAAGTGTGGGGGAGGGCTGGGTCATGGATCCGAGGCAAGAGAGTCCCCAGAAACCTCACAACCCACGTCCGTGTTTGTAGGCGCCCGACATTGCATCTAGTCCTCCAAAAGCACCTCAGGTCGGCTGGTCATCGCCACTCGGGTCACATTTACGAGGGGGCACGTGGGGGTTAGGCTCAAGGTGGGTCGTAGGGGTAGGGGCTCTGATGGTTGCGGGGACGTGCATCATGACTGCTAGTCGTAGCTTGGATTGTCATTACTACTAGCGCACACACAAATACATATGCATATATGGATATACATACATATACATACATATACATATACATACATATCTATATATATATATATATACATATATTCATGATGAGCATGATTTTGTTAAAAGTCGAATGTAGCGATGGGAGGAGCCGGCGGAGGAGAAGGCCAACGACGTGGCGAACGTGCAGGCGGAGGCGGCCAAGCGAACCGCCTTCAAGGCCTCGGCTCGAAACGAGCTCTCAGAGGGGTTCAGAGAGTCCAAGACTCCTGAATTAAGGAATATGAGCCTTAAATTTTGAATTATAAAGGGATCCTGAGTATGATTTACGGAATATGCCTTAATTGAGGGGTGTTGGGCTCTTTGAGGGGTTCAGAGGGGCTCCGAGAGGCTCGGGGTCTCGGGGTATGAGGAGTATGGAAGGGCAGTCAAAGGCATTTGCTCAAGTCCAGATGCCACAAGAGGGTCGGAGGCGCTTAGGGTCTCGGTTGGGGGTTATGGAGCCTTCAAACACTAGACCGGGCTCATGCTGCCATGTTGTAGCAGCCTTTCATCTCAGTGGCTCAGGGTTTCAGGCGACATCCGTTGGGCCCCTGACGCCGTGAAACCCTAAACCCTAAACCCTAAACCCTAAACCCTAAACCCTAAACCCTGAACCCTGAACCCTAAACCCTAAACCCCTGTCCCAGGCGCGCGCCAGCGAGGCGAAGAAGCGCCGGAAGTCGGGCGTCCTCAATGCTCCCGGCGAAGCAGGATCCTTCGAAGATGCGCTCATGTCCTGAGAGCCATCCGTGGGGGGTTTAGGATATTCGGGGTCACCTTAGTGTTAAGGGGATCCTACTTTTTGGGGGACTATTAGGGGTCCACTATATTTTCGAAAACCCCGACATGAGCCTCTTGTGGCACCTGAATGGCACCCCGTCTCCGTCTCTACGAGATCGGGCTCGGCATTCGCCAACTAAGGGCTCTTCAGGCCGAAGGCCCGAAACCCTAACCCGAAACCCTGAACCCCACACATCTCCAACCCCTTCGCCCGATTCTGTGGAGTCGTGGGTCGGCGCAAGCGCCGACGTAGCTCGGCCAGCTGACCTCGACAAAAAGCGCGGGAGCTTTGTGTGTAATTTTGTGTGGCTTTTGTGTGGGTTGTGAGGGGGCTCAGGGTTTGCGAGTTCGGGGCATCGGGGTTGAGAATTTTGGTTTTCTGGGGCGGCAGACTTGTGGCCATATCGGAAATTGAGTCTTGCCTTTGCAGGAGTGTTCGGAGACGCGCTTGACAAGTTTGGCTTGTGCGGTGCTGCGAATGGTGCGATTGCAGTTGCAGTCTGGCTGAGGGGGACAAAAAATCAGCAACGCAAGCCTGAGTCACGAGAAGCCATGTATCAGACCTTCAGACTTCAGAATTCCCGGCCAGCTGGTGTACCATGGTCAACCTGGCCAAACATTTGCAGCCCACCCCCAGCCCAAGACTCGAATCCCTAACCTTACAGTAAGCCCACCCTAGAGGAAGGAGTGCAAGGCCCCAAACCCCGAAGCTGGAACTCTTCCTCTCAGAGCTCGACGCCAGCGGCTGTTGAGGAGGCATGCCGCAGCAAGTGCAGCCTGTGGCAAGGTTCTGCCAGAAGCATGACAGGTGCTAAGCGCCAACAAGGCCACAAAAATAGCAAACAGCCCCGAAGCCATCAGCTGTTCTCGTGAGTTCCGCGGCAGGCGATGTCACAGCCACCCTTGCACACGCTGCTGGATTGCTAGAGTCTGCTAGGGGAAGTTTGGGTTTCAGGAGTTGCGGGGTTTGCAGCGAGGATGCTGTCCACTCACCATGCCTGTGGGGGGGAGGGGGGTGGGGTGGGGGGTGTGGGGGGTGGGGTGGGGGGGTGGGCCTAATCGTGAACCGAATCTAGCCGAGGTTGCCGACCATGCCGCCTCCGCCCCCAGGGACTCCCGAGTCGGACTCCCCAAAGAGGGTTGGACAGGTTTGGGAAGTCTTGGGTGTTTTTGTATTTTTACTTTTGGGTTTTTGGGGTTAGGGCACAGCAGTTTGGGGGGGTTCAGTGTCGGGGTTTAGGCTTGTGTGTATGGAATGGGGGGGGTCAGAGTCCAGGGATTTTGTTTTAGTTTCACAGGGGCTCTTGCCTCCTTGGTGCGGTTCCGATTCGCCAGGGGAAGAGGGGAACATGTTCATTATTCTGCAGCGCTGTTCTTGAGTTCCTTGCTTTGCCCATGATCTCCATGTTGTTGCCGCCATTCCTGGGTTGGTAGAGCCCGGCAGTTGCAAGCTCGCATAGCCTAGACATGAAACGTGCAACCCCAATCCCAAGCCCTGAAAACCCCGAAGCCTGAACCCTAACTTTGAACTCATCCCCTACAAACACCTGTAGGCTCTGTACTTGGGAGTTCATGGGTTTGAGGACTTCAAGGTACCTAAAACCCTCCAAGTGGGCTCTACACCCCGCTTGACACCTCAGTCCGCCCCAGGGCAGCCGCGGCGGCGCTGCCGCATCTGCTGGCGCAACCCACGGCTGCGCCCGGAGACCTGCAGGGGCCCGCCTCCCAAGCGCTTCCGGCGTCTCTTTCATGTTGGTTGGCTTGCTGGAGAAGGGAAGTCCAGAAGATAACCCAAAAGCTCCAAGCGCCATCCCTGAGCACTGAGCACCGGTACCACCAGAAGCACCAGGTTGATTCTTCTTGGGTTCCGGGGTGATGTTGGGTGCGGAGCCCCGAAAAGCTGCTTCTCTGCTTTCTTCCTGCCTGGCTCACAGTGGCCCGGTCTCCGCTGGTGCTCTACCGTGCAGCGGCGATGGGGAAGGGCGGCAAAGGCAAAGGCGACAAAGGCAAAGGAAAAGGCCCGGGGGCCCGCCCCCACCCCAGGAGTCAGGGCCGGCAACTAAGACCCGAAGATTTGAGAAATTTCTGAGCCTCGCAACCCCAAGACCTCCCCCAAGCCAACAAAGCGGAGGGTTTTTAGGAACTTGTCTCCCCTCTCCTGGCTGGTTCTTAGTAGGGAATGAGGGAATTCGGGCCCCATGTACTCCCTTAAAGAGTATGTCTAGGGCCCTCATTCCCTCACTAAGATGACCAGGGGGCCTCCCCTGTCAGGGAAAGTGAAAGGTAAAGGAAAAGGGAAGAAGGGAGGAGGCGACTTGGGTGCCCTCGAGAGTGATGGCTCTCTTGTGCCTCAAGATACCCCACCGAGCCACATCCTTTTTACCCTGTACTCTACCACCCTCACACCCCCCTTATACCCCCCCCCCTGCAACCTAAACCCCGAAGCCCCAAACCCCAAATCCAAGGACAGTACCGCAAACCCTAAACCCTAAATCCGAAACTAAACCCTAAACCCTAACCCTAGAAACCTGCCGAGGAAAGGCGAAGGGAGGCGGCAAGGGTGGCGGAAAGAAGGGCGCGGCGAAGGTGGTCATCGAAGCCCACCGCACTCCGGCGGCACTTTTTTTGTTGGATGTTGAGGGTTTGGGGTTTAGGGTTTAGGGACTTGAGGGGCGCAGGGAACAAGATTCAGGGTTTCGGTAAAGCCTAAACTCAGGTTGTCCTTCCTTCTGCAGCAATGCTTCATCATACTTGTTAAGGTTGGAAACCTTGACCTTTACCCGTGCTGGTACCTGTTATTACTTACCCATGCCTTCGATGGAGATTTTGGAGACCATGCCGTCCGTCATGGGTTATTCCCTTGCATGATCCGCCTCGTACCACAGCATTCCTTGTCTCACCGATTAGTCTCAACCAAGAACCTCAAAGTGTAATTTGTTCGAAAGGGGGGAACAACCCCAAACCCAAAACAGCCCCAAGCCCTTTTCCGACTGGGGTTAGTGCAGGGTTGGTGGAGGGTCGCGGTTGCATTTCATTAGCTGTCGGTCCCATGCCAAGGCCACGAGGGCGCGTTTGTGTCCAAGGGCAAGGACCGGGGACTCGTGCCGAGTTTTGCTTTGACATGCCTCGGGTTTGTGAGACTTCAGGCCTTCAAACTAGAGGCTGCCATTTCCCTTGAGAACCCCCCCCCCCCTCCCCCCACCTGCACCACAACGTTCTCTCAAGCCCGGAGGACGACTCCCTCGTCACTCGGAACCTTGTTCCCGGCGAGTCGGCAGCTGTGATGAACTGGTTGACACGAAGCCGGCGGGTATCTGTTGTCTTTCCATGTTGCAAGTCGAAAACGTCGTCTTAGTCTTAGGAGCCTAAACTTTCCCATGACCCCGACTTTAGTTTGACTTTCTCAGAAGGGTTCTCGGTAGGGGACCTGGGATCCTTTTCCGAGTCTCGATTTTCAAGCTGAGACCGCCCTGTACTCCCTACGCCCCAAAAGCCCTGAGCCTACTTGAAAACCCTGCATGTGTTTTCACAAAGTGTCGAGTTTGGTGTTCGCCCCTCATCACTTGGAGCAAGCCAGCCCGCAACCTCTGGTGGTTTATGACTTCGCAGTTTGGGGGCTCCGACCTCCTCCGAGGTCTACGGTGAGAAGCGGCTCGTTGCCGAAGCAGCGGATGGTGAAGAGAAGAGCTTTGCCTTAGTTTCAGGTTGTTAGGGTTTAGGGTTTCGGGTTTAGAGTTTAGGGTTTAGGGTTTAGGGAGGGGCGCCCTACCGAGGTCAGGGCCCACAAAGGGGTGCTTGGGGTTTAAGGGAAAAGGAGCTTTGGGTTGAGGTTCAAGGCCTTCAGAATTCGGACGAGGCCTCAGATGCCCCACGCCCGCTAGACAATCCAGCAGCAAGTGGTGTTCAGGGTTGAACAATGCTGGGCTCAGGATTGGTCTTTCTCTTAACGACCTCTTACGTATGAGCAGTGGGTGTTGAACGTACAGCAGTTTACGGGGGCGCATGGAGCCACGGCATGTGGTGCCATCTGCCCCCCCGCCCCCCTCTTGCTCCCTGCCTAAACCCTAAACCCGAAACCCTCAACCCTCAACCCTCAACCCTCAACCCTCAACCCTCAACCCTAAACCCTCCCAGGATCGAGTACCGAGTGTGGAATCCTTTTCGCTCCAAGTTGGGCGCCGGCATCGTGGGAGGCGAGGGTGGAACGTTGGGGACTTGCGTCAGCGGAATCTCAGGTTGCCTTTCGAGCTGCGGGGTTGAAGCCTCAGCCCCAAAACCCTGCCGAAAACAGGAGCCTTACTCCTGAGAGTCTGCGCTCAAACGGGTGGCTTTCGAGTGCCAGCACGATGCCCGGGTTGACCTGCATTGCGGGCCCCTCTGTGCATCCGATCTTCTGAAGTCAGCTGAATCATGCCTATAGACCTTAAAGTGGCCCTAAACCCTTCCTAAACGTCACCATGGTCATCGGGGTTCTTCCTCTGCAACGTTTGCCCACGTTTGCCCACGTTTGCCCACGTTTGCCCACGTTTGCCCACGTTTGCCCACGTTTGCCCACGTTTGCCCACACTGCGTTTGCCCACGGTTTGCCCTCGCAGGTATCGGCTCCTGCCCCGTGAAGCCCGGGGCGAAGGCGTGTCGGGGTGTTGTAGGGTTCCAGGGTCAGTTTTGCCTTCCTATACCATCATCTAGAGGGCAGACCGAGAAGGATTGGGCTTCGGTGACCAGAGCTTTCAAAATCTCAAAAAACGTGAGCCTCTCGACCCCCAAAACCCTTCAGATTCCTCAGGTCCTGTACCTGGGTGGCGCCTCGGGCACCACTGTCTCTCATGTCTCCGACATGGTCGGGCCGGAGGGCGTGGTCTATGCCGTGGAATTTTCACACCGGTCGGGCCGCGATCTCACCAACATGGCGAAGCGACGACCCAACGCCGCTGGGCTGAAAGCCCTGATGGGTCCCCCGGGGTTCGGATAGCTCGATAGCAGCAACCCGGAATCCTAAACCCTAAGCCCCAACACCTAAACTGCATTCCCTCTTCAGTTTGCCCCGTGGAGCATGGCTAGACGGGTGGCAAAAAACAACCTAAACACTAAACCGACGCACTTAGCGACCCCGCTGCGCTGTGGCTAGTCGGGTGCCAACAAAAAACCCTAAAACAAAACTCAGTTGCCCTGATGCAGAGACAGCGCCGAGTAAGTAACCCTAAGCCCGAAGCCCTCAACCACCCACCAACAAACGTTGGATTTTCAGGGCCTCCTCGGAGTTGCATCCCAGGTGGTGCCCATTGTCGAGGATGCGCGGCAGCCGCAACGATACAGACCCCTGCCCGAGAAGCCGCGTCGTGGGTTCGGGTCGCCAAAATTCCAGAGGCGTTTCTCCCCGGCCTGGGGCCTTTTCTTCTTAAGTTCCGGGTTGAAGACACAAGGGGGGCCCACGTCCCGTGGTTTGACAAGTTCGTGTTGAGATGTTCAGGCTGGTGTAGGTTCGTTATGTTTTTAGCTTTTTGTTTCGATGAGGTGTGTGGCACTTGAGCCCTGTTGCTTTGCACTAACTGAATGCCTTAAGCCGGAAAGCTCGTAGTAAGTGTAGAAACTGTAGAGCTGATTGTTGGTCCTGGTGTGTCAGACACAGGTCTTGGAAGCAGGCACAGATGCAGTGAGTCAAGCGCAGAACCCCCCAGTACCAGGCCGCGCAACACCAAACCCAAAACCCACCGCCGAAGGAATGCTGATTGGCATGGTGGACGTGATCTTCTCTGACGTCGCCCAGCCAGACCAGGCGCGCATCGTCACGCACAATGCGGGCTTCTTCCTGAAGAACAACGGCTGGGTCATGATCTCCATCAAGGCCCGGGCTCGGAGCCGTGGGATGCTGATGCTGATCCGAAGACTGCCAATGTGAAGGGGGAATGCGAGGTAGCCCTTACGCTGCTTCAGGGAGGTCCCGGAACCCCGAAGCCCCCCCCCCCCCCCCCCCACCTAAACCCTGAACCCTAAGAAAAAAGCCCTAAACCCTAAACCCTAAACCCTAAGCCCCAAACCCTAAACCCCAAACCCTAAACCCTAAACCCTAAACCCTGAACCCTAAACCCTAAACCCTAAACCCTCAAGCCTAAACCCCGAGAGCTTGAGAGGCGAACTGCGTGGACTCCACGGCAGCGCCTGAGGCGGTCTTCGCAATGGAGATCGACAAGCTGCGTCCTTTGGCCCCAGTTGTCTGGGTTTAGGGTTGAGGGTTGAGGGTTTAGGGTTTAGGGTTTAGGGTGCAAAAAGGGTTTAGGGTTTAGGGTTAATTGTAAATTTTAACGCTACGCGACCCGCCTCGGCCCGGCCCAGCGCATCCGCGTGAGCATGGTGATTCCGCAGCGCCCAAGTCGCTGGACCCCAAGCAATAAGGGTTGGGTTTAGGGTTTGGGGTTTCGGGTTTATGGTTTATGGTTTGGGGTTTAGGTTTGAGGGTTAGTTTAGGATTGAGGGCTTAGGGCTCAAGATTTTCACGCTTTGGGGTTTAGGGTTTTTTTGGGTTTAGGGTTCAAGAGACGGTTCGGCTTGGATTGATCGTAGGCTACGGGGGGTGGGGGGGGGAAGGGCAGCGGGGGGGGGGGGGCGGGGGTGGCAGGGGGGGGGGGGGGGGGGGGAGGGGGGGGGAGGGGGGGGGAAAGGGGGGTTCAACTGCCTCTGGTCCTGGCGAACCGTCCGCTTGCGGACCTCGGTTTCCTAGGGGGGGTACCCATTTGAGGCGAAAAAAAAGGAGGGGTCTCACAACAAAACACTTCCGGTCAACGGATTTCCCTTCGTCCCGTATAGGGGAACCTATTCATGAATCATTTTTCAAAGGGTTCAAAGCACAACCCAGTGATTTCTCCCAGCCAGAAGAGAGAGGGTTTTCAGAGCATGGTGTTAAAGGATGTTGGTGTGTGTTTTTTCAAGCGACGTTGGTGTTTTTTCTTTCTTTGTGTTGTCTATTAATATTTGTTGTTTTTTCTTGTGTGCTGTTCAGACTGAGCGTGGCATGTGCGTCCCTAAACCCTAAACCCTAAACCCTAAACCCTAAACCCTAAACCCTAAACCCTAAACCCTAAACCCTAAACCCTAAACCCTAAACCCTAAACCCTAAACCCTAAACCCTAAACCCTAAACCCTAAACCTGCACAGGCAAGGACGGGGTCAAACCCAAGGAGCAGCTCACTTTAGACACTCGGCTCCGATTTCAGGGTGCCGTTTCTTCCTTGGTCATAGGGTTTAGGGTTTAGGGTTTGGGTTTAGGGTTTAGGGATTTAGGGGTTGGGATGTTCCCCCGACTACTAGCAGTTCTCTATAGGGATTTCCATAGGGTGGGGGGTACTATCCTCCCTACTAAGGGCTGTTCGCATAAGGGGGGAGCATCCCAAGTTGAGGGGTTAGGGGTTTAGGGTTTAGGGTTTAGGGATGGGAATCAGAGACGACGATGTGGCCTAAGCCTTCAAAGTTCACCTCGTAGCGGCTGTGGAGGTGTGCCTGCCTTTGAAAGTACTCTCACACGCCTCTGTGTGCATAGGAGCCATATCATCGTGACCACGCTTTGGTGGTCGGCATCTACCGGGCCAGCAAGAAAAAGAAGCTTGGCAAATCTTCTTGAGGACGGTCTTCTGCCTCAAGGCTTCTGCCCTCCCCAACCCAAAGCCCTGAACCCGAAACCTTGAAACCCCAAAAGGAACCCAGGCGCCAAACCACGGAAGCAGCATCGCACCCCATAAGGATAACCACTTGATCCCCAAGCTCAAACCCTCCGCCACCCAAGGAAAGAGTGAGGGACCAGGCCCGTGTGCTGGTAGCCGCAGGAGGAAGCCACGTCCTGGGAGAAGTGGCGCGGACGACATTCTTAAGGGGTTGTCAGGCGAAAGGGGTTTAAGGTTCAAAAGGGAGATTCGCCGAAATTCATACGGCTTTACCGTTTTTAGGTTTTCACAGGGCTTCTAGGATTTCAACGGTTTGGGATTCGCCAAGTGGCTTCCTTCTTGGCAAGCGGCCCTTTTGAGTACCCTCCCGGAAAACCTGTGGCCAGAGAGTGGCCCTCCCGTCATATTTTCATTCGCAGGGCCCTATCGGGATACAGACCTGATGATTTGTGGACCAGTGCCATGAAGCCTGTGCCTTTCCTGTACTTAGCAACTTGATCGTTCGAGCGGAGACTGTGTTTCAGAGCTGTGCGAGAGGCACGAAAAAGCCAGCAGGGCACCGCTTTAGGGTTTAGGGTTTAGGGTTTAGGGTTTTTGTGGACGCCCTTTAGAAGACCTTCAGGGCGGTGTTTTAGCTTCTGGCTCGTTTTCTGCTGGCAGTCATTAAGTCCGGTTTCCTATCGGGTTTAGGCTTTAGGGTTTGTTTCAAGCCGTGCTTTTTAGCCGACCTCAGCTGCACCGATGCACGACCACAGATGCCCTAAACGCCTAGACACATTCTATTGTGCTACTGCTATATTACTATAATACTATACTATTTGATATTACTTTATTACTATGTGATGGTGAAAGTCAGAGGTCTGGGGGAAGCTGCGAAGTGTCCTTAGCCAGTGCTTTTGTGGCTTGAACACGAAGATGCTGACAACCCGATTGGCTTTCCACGCGCAGATACGCGGCCGCCACAGCGCCCACAGCGATTCCGGTGCAGCCCATGAGCATGCAGGACCTGGCAAGGTTTTGAATTTCGGTGTGGGTTTTTGCGGGGGGCTCGCGTTGAGGGGTTAAAGCCACCGGGCCCCAAAGAAACAGAACCTCTAAAGGCCTGAAGTTCTGCTAGCCTCGTGCAGGTCTTTGGTATCGTTGTAAGGAAAGAGGCGCTCTAGCGACCGGCAGGGTTTGCGGTCAGGCAACATGGGACTCTAATTTCAAGCGAAAGGGAGGGCGGGCTGAGAAGGAGAAGAAGGAAGAAGACAAAGAAGAAGAAGAAGAAGAAGAAGAAGAAGAAGAAGAAGAAGAAGAAGAAGAAGAAGAAGAAGAAGAAGAAGAAGAAGAAGAAGAAGAGGAAGAAGAAGAAGAAGAAGAAGAGAAGAAGAAGAAGAAGAAGAAGAAGAAGAAGAAGAACATAAGCAGAGCAGAAGCAGAAGCAGAAGCATAAGCATAAGCAGAGCAGAAGGCAGCAGAAGCAGAAGCAGAAGCAGCAGCAGCAGCAGCAGAAGAAGAAGAAGAATAAGAAGAAGAAGAAGAAGAAGAAGAAAGAAGAAGAAGAAGAAGAAGAAGAAGAAGAAGAAGAAGAAGAAGAAGAAGAAGAAGAAGAAGAAGAAGAAGAATAAGAAGAAGAAGAAGATAAAGATAGAGAGCGAGAGAGAGAGAGGAAGGAAGAAGGAAGAGACTGTGTGTGAGAGACAGCAGATAAGCCCGACGGGCGCGGAAGGGCGATCCCAGTAGTAGAAGAAGCAAGAATAACAAGAGGGAGAGAGGAAGGGAGAACGGCTTGTATGGTTGGTGGACGAGGCGGTGGGGCAGGTATTTCCTTCGAGTTTTTACTTACAGGAGTATAACAGGATCCTTGCGCAGTGTTGTAGTCATGCTCTGCGTGCAACACTTGCATCCTTTTCGCTTGTCAGGGTCGCCTTGTAACAGGTTGCCAAGTGGCGTGTGTGATGGAGCAGAGCCGTTAGCGTGTGCTGCCATCACAGCTGCCTGCCTATCGCTTCCATAGTCAACATCTTGGGATGTGCCACTTGCTGTAAAACTTTGCGCAGCACTGCCAGATAGCAAATGTCAGTGGCGCCACTCACGCATGTGATGCCCGCGAGGCCCACATCCAGGCTCAGATCCAGTTTCAGGCGTGGGGCTGTTGTTTGGATCGTGCCTTGTGCAGAGCGTGGGTTGGCACAGGAGCAGACTTTTTCCGAATGCGAAAACGGCAGCTGATAGCCACTGCTTCCGATGGCTCGGCCCAAGGGTGCCCCAGAGCTGGTCTTCGTAGCATGCGCAATGAAGGATGGCACGAAGCAGAGCATGCAGAGAGTCCGCAGCAGTGCAGGCTAGTCAACAGCAGTGCAGTAGAGAGGCGAAGCGAGCAAGCATAGGCAGGTTTCAAGGTGAGACATCCTGGGCCACCCAGCTGTTTCATCATGGTCGACCAACCTGAAGGCCTAGGGCCTTCTGTCATGATTGTTTTTCTTCTTCTCAATATTAATATACATGTTGTTTATTTATTTATTTATGTATTTATTTATTTATTGTTATTATTGTTATTCTTGTTGTTACTATTATTGTTATTATTGTTATTATTGTTATTATTGTTATTATTGTTATTATTGTTATTATTGTTATTATTGTTATTATTGTTATTATTGTTATTATTGTTATTATTGTTATTATTGTTATTATTGTTATTATTGTTATTATTGTTATGAAAATAGTAATAATAATAATTATGATTATTTATTATTATTATTATTATTATTATTATTATTATTATTACTTCCTTTTTTAAAAAATGTTTGTGTTTTTATTTTTTGTCATAAATTATTATTGTAGAGACATCCAACAATGTCAGTTGCTCTTTAGGCCCCCGCCTGGGAGCCTTGCCGCGGGGCTACATGGAGCCACTCGTCACGTTGTTGACACAGGGCCTTCGACGAGGCCGGAAGTTGCGATGTAGCTTGAAGCGGTGGGGTTTCCAGTGGGTCTGGTTCCGGGCTTCGAAGTTGTAAACCCTAAACCCTAAACCCTAAACCCTAAACCCTAAACCCTAAACCCTAAACCCTAAACCCTAAACCCTAAACCCGTAGCCCTGGGAGGCATGGCGGAACCCGACCCAGGAAGCCAGGACTTGCCTGGGCCAGAGGACGAGGAGGCGGCGACCACCCAGGAGGCTCCGACCTCTGAGACCCATATAAGGGTTTACGAAAATAGGGGACCAAAATTTCGAGCCCCAAAGAGTAGGATCCCTTCATCATATGGACCCCAAGAAGGTAGCCCGTAATTTCGGTTAAACCCGTATTAATGCTCCCCCCAAAGCCGTGGAGGATCCTCGCAGCCCCACGGAAGAGCGCCACGACGAGGCCGCACCGCCTTCGGACCCTGAGCCGCCGTTGGAGGAAGCCGAGGCCGAGGCGGCTGGTCAGGAGGCCCTGAGCCTTGGGCGAAGGGCTTTGGAGCAAGTCTTGGGGTGTCGGGGGCGAAGGGCTTAGCTCAGCCTGCAACTGAGGCTTTTTTTGGGGGGGGGAGGGGAGACCTCACAAGAGCTCACTTTCTTCAACGTATCCTGGGATCAGCTGCCGAGGATCCGTAGAGAGGACGAGGAGGAGGAGGACGACGACGATGGCACCTATGTGAGAAGTGGTTCCAGAGGAGAGGTCGAAGTGCTGGACGTGAACTTCTGTGGCCGGGCACGAAGGCGCTGCAGTAGGACTGACTGAGGTTGTTGAGCTTCTCTTTTTTCTTTGAACGCTGAACATGATGTGAATGGCCGGCTTCTCAAACACGGAGGCGCTTGGCCCGGCACGCGCGCCGGGCACGAATACCTCTGGTCTCCCGGGCGCTGGTTGTGGAGGAGGAGTTCGTGGATGTGGACGAGGTCACGAACGAAGTCCACGATGCCGAGCCAGACCGCACCTTGCACATGGAGGTGTCGAGCGACGAGGCCGACGTAGCGGTGGCAACGCGGCGCAGGCAGCGTGGGGAGCGCCCGGCATCTTCCGCGCCTGTGGCTCGGAGTGCCGCGCTGAGCATCAACAACGGCCGCCAGGTACGCCTTGAAAGGCCCAAAGTCAAGGCCAGGCCCAAGCGAAGGGCCCAAAACTCCGCCTCCGCGGGCTCCGCGGGCTCTGCCGGCTCCGCGGGCTCTGCCGGCTCCGCGGGCTCGGCCAGCAGACGAGGCCATGACAGCTTCGACACGCTGCCCACCTCTTCCACGGAACGGCTGGAGAGCAACGGCTGGGGTGCAGCTGGCTGCTTACCCAGTTGTGAGCTTGTTTTGTGGTTGGTGAGAGTATGAGTGGCACTCGCTGTCCCTATGCCCCGAGAGGCCCTCAGCAGCTGAAGCCCTAAAGTCCTCAAGCTCTTCAAGCCCCTGAGTGACTCTGTGAGCGACGGAAAGGCTTCGAGGGCCAGCCATCCCCCTCCAGCTGGATGTGGCCAGATGAAGAAGAATCGAGCGTCAACGCCTTGCCGCCTTTGCTGCAGGCCCCGCGGTTCCGCAAACGAACCATCTTGCGGATCAAAATGTTACAGACCCGAATTTTTTGTACCCTGAGCTCATAAGGAACCGGCCCGCAATAGAGGCCCTGAAGGGGTGTTGTGGAACAGCCTCCAGGTGCCGCTGTCGCCAGAGCACGCGAGCCCTGCCGAGGAGCTGGTCGCGTAGTCATGGCTATGTCGATTCGTCCCCAGCTGCCGCAGACATGTCTTGCCCTGTTATGTCCCCAGGAAGTATCTGCAGGTGAAGACCCCCCCCATGAATCCCCCATGAATGCGACCAAATGCCCTGGAGGACGGCATGGACCACTCCCTGCCCGACTCGTGGTTCCAAGACCCGGAGGACGCGGAGGTCACCACCACAACCTCTGGCGATGCCGTGGAGGGCACTGGCCCCTCAGCTGAAAGAGCCCGATCGCCCTTAGGCCCTGCATCCTAAGCTCGAAACCCTAAACCCCATGAGGGCCCAGCAAGCCACTGAGGCCTCTCCGTGATCTACGTGGAGCCCGTGAGGCCTGGTGTGGAGTGGGCATGCCAAGTGCAGAGGTAGAGAGCATGCTGAGCACCCCTTTGGATGAAGACAGCCAAGCAAAGAAAAGGGTTTCGGGTTAGGGTTTAGGTCCCAGTTGATAAAAAAAGAGTTTAGGGTTTAGGGAAAAGGGTTAGCTGAAGCGAAGACAGGAGTCGACTTTGGATCAAGTCGGCCAGCCAGGAAAGGGTATGCGGGCACACGAAAGTTTGAGAGCCGTGCGACAAGGAACACCAGAACACAGGGCCTTGGAACTCCCTACGTACCTCCCAACAAAAGCCGCTAAGAGCCGTAGACCCCCTTAAACAGCTAGGGCATACCTTGCCCAGTTTGGGTAAGAATACCACCAGTCAACCCATTAGACGATCTTTCCTATACTCCCCCCTACACTCCACCCAATATATCACTACTACTTCCCCAGTATCAATACAAGTATAGGAATAACCAATTACCCCATCTATATTCTCTAAGATGGTATTATTAGCCAAACTGGGCAAGGGGTTCCTCATCGAATTTGGTTCAGGGTTTAGGGTTAAGGGTTTCGCATTTGCTTAATCTTCTCGGATTCTTCAAGCATGTTGTAACTATGCTGTAATTATAATATATAACTGGTTATGCAGTATAATTACATTATAACTATGCTGGCGCGAGGAGACTATCTATTTAGAATTTTGAACTATCATCTCACCTCAGAACTCTGTTGTTTCTTCTAAATATTCACAAGGTAAATTATTATTCCTTTTTACTCGGTATTGTAGGTAGTATATTATTGCAAGGAATATATGATGAACTCTTTGATAATAATAAAAATAACCACATAAAAAATCTTTGAAACAATTCTTCTTCTCCTGATGCCATTGATAGAAGTCAAACGTATCTAGGTTCTCATACATGGTTTTCATTTCAATATGTAACTCAAGTGTATAATCTTTCTTTTGAACATCATCTCGCATTATTTCATGAACTTCATCATATTCTGGATATTTGCTTAACTTAGCAAAGGGTATTGTATAATCATCAAACAAGTTTCTTAACTTACAGCATTTGTCACAACCATAGTAATCTACAATCTGATTTTTAAAGCTATGTAAGACATCGCATTTGCCTAGTAATATTTTCTGTATGTTCTTAACTGGGTTACACTTATCGCATCTATTGAAATAGTTAAATTTGGATATCTGATTATACAAATATGTTTCATCATATCCACCCTCACTTTCATATTCTCTCATTTTCACTGTCACTCATTTCCACGATAATATATAAGTTGTTATTTCTTTAAGTCATTTTCCTCAGAATATAATATTATTTTCTTAAGGCTTACTGGATCACGGTTTATTTGACAGACTTGTTTAAGCATTCGGAATACTTGTATTGATAATGGGGAAGTAGTAGTGATATATTGGGTGGAGTGTAGGGGGGAGTATAGGAAAGATCGTCTAATGGGTTGACTGGTGGTATCATTACCCAAACAGGGCAAGGTATGCTCTAACTTAAACCGCCTTCGAACAAACCCTAAACCCTAAACCCTAAACCCTAAACCCTAAACCCTAAACCCTAAACCCTAAACCCTAAACCCTAAACCCTAAACCCTAAACCCTAAACCCTAAACCCTAAACCCCAAACCCTAAACCCTAAACCCTACACAAACCTAAGCCCTAAACCCTTAGTGAAGCGGTTTTTTTGGCTCTTCTGGGCCGCAAGAAGGCCGGGAATGGAGCCTCGCCACTGCCGCCAGTGCCATTCGGCCTTCTCCATGGGCGAGCTGCGCTCCGCGGAGAGAAGTCCAAGAACCCCTAAACCCTAAACCCTAAACCCTAAACCCGAAACCCTAAACCCTAAACCCTAAACCCTAAACCCTAAACCTTAAACCCTAAACCCTAAACACTACCCTTTTGCCACCCGGTTTGAGGCCTTCAGGCTGCGAGGAGGAGGTGGCAGGGGCACACCCCTCATCCCTAGCAAAGCCAAGGCTTGGGCTACACGCCGTGCGGCGTGGCAGCTGATGGCCGACAATTCCTCCCCGTTTGGGTGCACGCCTTCACTTGCGCCCGGAGGGCGCGGCTAGCCATCCGCTTCGACGGCGATGCCCAGCATGCATTTGTGGGATGGTGAGCGTTCGTGTTGCCTTTCGGGCTCCAATGGTGGACTGGTGGGTTCGATCTTGGGTATTCCTGAATGCTTGGCCGGTCGTTGTGGTCTTGTGCAATGAACTTCAATCAGACCTTGGAGTCCTCCCCCAACATGTGGCCCCAACTCGCTGCATCCTCACGGCCTTACATCCTAGGTAGGATAAGGGGGACCCTTACAAGGGAACCCCTTCTTAACCCTCTTCTGGCTCTCTTAAACAGGGACCTTATTCAGAGGGTCTATATCCCCAAGGGTCCCCCTAATCCTATCCCCCATTGCAGAAGCACGTGCTCGTACCATGTTTAGAAATCGTGTTCTATGACACGACAACACTGTTCCATGACAAGACAATACTGTTCCATGACGCCGCTGCTTTGTTCCATGACACAGTTTTTTGGGTACCATGTGTAGTTCAGTGTACTGTCGTTATAGTTTAGTGATTTAGTGTAGTGACAGTTTCGTGTCCTCAAGTTCTACTTCAGCGTCCTCTAGTTCTGCTTCAGTGTACTGTCGTTATAGTTTAGTGATTTAGTGTAGTGACCGTTTCGTGTCCTCAAGTTCTACTTCAGCGTCCTCTAGTTCTGCTTCAGTGTCCTCTAGTTCTACTTCAGTGTCCTCTAGTTCCGGGACGAAACCGCTTCATTTCGACACTTGCTGCTTGGTGCTGTGCCTGGAGTCAGCAAAAGCGCCATGGCTCGCTACTCGTGCCGGCTCCCTTGTTCCGGTTCCTGCTTTACCTGCAGGCCTGCTCTTCCCATTCCGAGTGGAGATTCGTGCTAGAAACTGGAAGCATACCATGCACCACTGTACTCGGAGGCCAGCGTGACGATGTCTGGTCGTTTGGAGTGCAATTCTCCAGTCGTTCCTTTGTTAGGCCGGCCCCTTGTTTGGCATGTCTCGTTCTTTCTTTTTTGCCTGTGTTGCAAGAGCTTCTGAAGGACTGCAAGAGCAGACAGAGGATGCTGGAGAGGAAACAGAAGATGCTGGAGAACAGCTGGTAAGGGCTTCTGGGGCTTCTGGAGAAGGAGACCAATTGGCACTGGAAGTGTGCAGTGCAGCCCTGGCTCGTTTGTGGCTTGCATGTGCAGTGCAGCCCTGGCTCGTTTGTGTTGTGAATGCCTAGGGGCACGCGCGGGGAAAGCCCTGTCCAGGTTAGCCAGCTTCGTGCGATGCTGGTTGAGCGAGACCTTGATGACTCCGGCAACAAGGCATGTCGTTTCCGTGTACACAAATTGCCTAGCGGTTCTTTGATGACAGTCCCTGTGAGGCAACCTTGCTGCGTCGCCTTCGTGCTGCTGCTGGGAGTGCGAAAACGTTCACATGTTCGAAGTGCTCTCGGGTCGTTACGGAGATGCCGTGTGGAGACCGAAAGGAATGTTCAAGTTGTCGAACTCTCATGAAGCAGCTCGTGGCCCACGATGTAGCGGTCCAAGCACTGGGTGTAGACTCTGCGACTTTGCAGGGTTTTTTCGCGGCTGTTGCAGCTGCTCGCACTGGTGCGGCGATGCACTGGAGCGATGTGCGAGAAATGTTGTTGACGTCCTTGTCCTCATACCACGAGCTCAGCCATCGCAAAGTTTGTGAGGTCCTGGAGCGGCCGCTCCAGTTTTGGACTAACAATGGTTATGATGAAAATCATATCAAGCTGCACGATTGAGCAGGCAACGGGTTGTGGGAAGAGAGGTGTTTCGTTTCGGTTTCGGTTTCGGATTAAATGTCTGGGTTACGCGTTTGAGGATTTCAAGCCCGAAGCCTGTGTAGTGTAGTGGGAAAAAGACGAAGCGTTGGGTCTGTTGGGTTCTACAGTTGTAGGCTTAAAGGTTCCCTGAAAAGAAGTCTTTATGGCAAACCCGCTGCTTGTTTACAGCAGAAACGGCTGAGTCTGTAATGGAGGGCTCGGATGGCGATGGCCAGGATGCGCAAGCCTCTCGGAGGCGTGCTCGTGCTTATGTGCCTCTGGATCGCAAAATTTACACAAGGGCAGCTCTCAGCGATGCCAGATCCGAAAAGGACAAGCTGCGAAAAGCGGCACGCGCATGGAGCAGCGAGAATGAGATCTTGGTCGGTGCCTTTTCCACTCCCCGGGAGCAGGGGGACGCATCCTTTGTTACCACAGCATTTTGCATGAGCTGCACGAACTGCCGCGAGGGAAATGGGAAAACTTTTCGCTTTCAAGGCGCGTGGTTGGAGCAGGGTCAGATGTACCGTCTCAGCATCTGTACTTCTGGCGAGCACAAAGGAGAACCTGTTCGAAGGCGCGGCAAAAAGAAACCCGTGCAAGTCATGCCTACAAATGAGGAAAGACGCAAGGTGGTGGCTGCGGCTGATGCATTGCAGGAAAGGGGCCTCAAGGCCACAGCAAGTTCGGTCAGTGTTTTCTTGGGGGAAGATCGCGTTGCAGCAGAAGCCACCCGTGCAATCCTGAGACATCGCCGCGGACGGCAGGGTGGAGCCACCAAGTTGTTCCAGGAGAGCCAGCCGGAGTTCCTTACTTGGTCGGAGCGCCGGTCCGACACCGTCAAAGATGTGCTGATGAAGCCCTTCAGCTACGTCATTTTGATCTTGGGTTTTTTTGAAGCATTGGAGCAGCTTGGGGCTTCAAAGATCTGCCTCGCAGCTGACTTTACGCATTCCCTCGAGTTGATGTCCTTTCGCTGGGGCGTCGTGTCCTTGGTCCTTTACAGATGCCTTGGAGGGTCCTGGCGCAGGACCCCGTGGCCGCTGGCGTTTGTTTGCTATGCTGTCGAAGCTTCCGCTGGGTACCTCAAAGTGTTCCAGGCCGTGCAGAGTCTTGCTGGGATTAGCCTTACATGCTTGCCAGCCTCAACCCTTTTAACCCTAGCCCTCAAAACCCGAAGCCTTGAAGCCTACGCAATCTGAGGACAGAGCTGGCCCGTCGAGGTATGGCGAATGTTGTTTGCCAAGTCAATTGTGACTACTTCACAGGGCAGTCGTACCGCTTGCGAACGTGTCTGGCCGAGAGCGCAGGTCGTCAACGACCTCGAGCATTTGCGAAGGAATTTGCTTGGAAACGACCGTCGCGGGAAAAAGCAGGAAACGCGTGATGGCGAGGAGCCAGCCCGCCCGCCTCCGCGGGCTCGGGGTGCGCGGGGCCGAGCCGTTGCTCCTGCCCGTCGGGCCGGGCGCTCTGGTGGACGTGGAGGTCGCGGCCGTGGAGGTCGCGGCCGTGGTCGCGGCAGGGGTCTCGGCGTCGCTCCCCACCTGATCAAGTATCCCGTCTGGGCTGTGCTCAACAACATCACACACCTGGCGCTTTGCCCTACGATCATCATGTTCCACATCCTGGCGAAGACGCTTTTTTTGCGCATGAAATTTTGCTGGGGCGAGGAGAAGTTTATGCAGTATGTGCAGGAGCAGTATTTCGTTCAGATCCCTCCCCCAAGGCTCGGATTGGTCCTAAACCCGAAGCTCAAACCTCACCTAAAACCTCCTCACTTAAAACCTCCAGCCCTCTCAGCCCTTCGTCGTCCCCAGCAACCCCTGCGCCAGGGATTCAGGACTCCAAGAAGACTTGATATGGAGTGCTCGTTGGTGGGTGGGCGTGGGTTCCAAAGCCCAGACTGGTCATCCTTGCACGCAGCAGGCTGCCGAAGCTGCGAATTCAAAAATCAAGACAGATGTCAGGGGACAAGGCCCAGCTAAGACCCACAAGATGGTGGCTGAGAACTTGCTCAAGGCGAGCGTGCTTTGGACGTCTGACATCCACGAAGCAGATCGTCTGGCGGGGTCACAGGCGAGCCATACCTAGTCATCAGTCTTCTGTTGTGCCCCTATGTCCTCCCCCCCAACCAATAATAAGTTTGACCTGCAGGCGCCCTTGTCTCTCATGGCGCCGCCCGACTGTTTGACTGCCGAGCGACCCCGTCGGCCAGATGATTGGATGCTTGAACCTCGAGGATTGCAGATGGGAAGGAGGCAAAATTAAAACCCTCAATAATAATGTGATGATGCTGGGATTATTCTTTTCTTATTCGGTTGGAAAGAAAGCCCGCAAACTTCTTCCATTCCTCAGTCACGGCAGGAGCGAGGCACCGAAGGCCTTTTGGCGACCTGGAGTATTTTCCGCCGATACCTCACCTTCTGCGGCGCATACAAGCGCCAGGCTCGCAGTTTGTCGAGATGGACGACGGTGAGGGTCGCAACACGCGCTGGGCTTGCCTTGCGGTCAACAAGCCACGTGTTGTGCCGAGAGGTACGCTGCAGAGGATGCGGCGCCTTTTGCAAGCTCGCAAAGAGGCGCGGCTCTTGTCTGCACTAGAGGCGGAGGGTATCCTCCAGGATGCCGGCGAGTCTGCGCACCCGAGTGCACCGAAAAAGGTGAACTGGGATCGGTACTCGGAGTTCTGGAGCACTTTTTGCTGCGTCTGGCACACTGAAGGCAATGACTCCTGCCGCTGTACGTGCTGGATGTGGACATGGGATGGCCAGTGCCCGCATAGCTATGCGCTAGAAGAACACTGGCAACTCCATCACCACGTTCCGCCCGTGGTGCCAGATGTAGTGCAAGCAGCTCGCGATGTTCGGCACTCAGACGACGAAGGGCCGGCAAGGCAGCGGCGACGCCGCGGTTGAACGTCTGACCTTGCTCTTGGTAGAACATGGTCCCTTGGGTTTCACACTTGACAGTCAGGTCTGCCAGGACCCTAAACGCACCAGCTGTTTCCGGAGCTCTGCCGTTTCTGTGTTTGTTTTCTAGGGTTTCGGGAATACTTCAAACTATCTCCCCAGCAGCTTCAAATTTTCAGCTCTGCTCCGGTAAATTGGGTGCGATTGCTGCAAACAGCTTTGTTCATGGAGGATGCAGCTATGTTAACCACAGCAGAGACGTTTTTGCCCGCTGTGTGAGCAGCTTCTGACAGCTGGTGTATGGGCTTTTGCTTTCCGGGTTTAGTAGAGTTTTAAATGTCAGGTATGCCAGGGCCCTGGGCCGCCGGCTGTTTCAGGATCTGCGGTCTGCACGAGAGTCCTGTTTGGTGAAGGCTTGCTTCAAATTCAGTGGTGGGACAAGGTATATGTATACATAGAGGGAAGAATAGGAAAGACAAAGTTGGTGTAGGGCTTAGGGCTTACGAATAATAGGAAAGACAAAGTTGGTGTAGGGCTTAGTGCTTTCGAAGAACGACATGGTTACTGTAGAAATAAGGACTTTAAAGGAGCGAAGCTGGCCTAACAGCCATTTTGCGCGAACCTCCGCCTCCGCTTTCCGAGACCAAGATGGACGTGGCTTAAGACAGGCTGGAACAGCCCTAGGTTGCTGAAACCCCGATACAACCTCATTGACGGGAGGATCTTGGTCTCCTCGTTCAAAATATTTTCCCAGCAGCTTCAAGTTTTCGACTGTGCTCCGGTAGATTGGGTGCGATCGCTGCTGTCAGCTTTGTTCATGGAGGATGAAGCTGTGTTAACCACAGCAGAGACGTTTTTGCCCGCTGTGTGAGCAGATTCTGACAGCTGGTGTGTGGGCTTTAGCTTTCCGGGTTTAGTAGAGTTAAATGTCAGGTGCCAGGGCCCTGAGCCACCAGCTGCTTCGGGATCTGCGGTCTGCGCTATAGTCCTGTTTGGTGAAGGCTTGCTTCAAATTCAGTGGTGGGACAAAGTATATGTATACATAGAGGGAAGAATAGGAAAGACAAAGTTGGTCTAGGGCTTAGGGCCTTCGAAGAACGATATGGTTACTGTAGGAATAAGGACTTACGGGAACGAAGCTGGCCGAACATCTTTTTTTCGCGAACCTCCGCCTCCGCTTTAGACCAAGATGGACGTGGCTTAAGACAGGCTGGAACAGGCATTGGCAACGCCCTACGTGGCTGAAACCCCGATACAACCTAATTGACGGGAGGATCTTGGTCTCCTAGTTTTTCCCAGCAGCTTCAGGTTTTCACCATTGCTCCGGTAAACTGGGTGCGATCGCTGCAAACAGCTTTGTTCATGGAGAATTAAGCTATGTTTTCCACAGCAAGGACGTTTTTGCCCTCTGTGTGAAGTAGCACCTGGTGTGTAGCGTCCTCCTACTGGTCTACTGGTGTGTAGGGCTTGGTTAGCTGTGTAGCCCTTAGGTTTTCTACGTTTTTAGGGTTCGGGAATAGTTCATATTATTTTCGCAGCTGCCTCAAGTTTTCGACTGTGCTCCGGTAGATTGGGTGCGATCGCTGCTGTCAGCTTTGTTCATGGAGAATGAAGCTATGTTTTCCACAGCAGAGACGTGTCTGCCCGCTCTGTGAGCAGCTTCTAACAGCTGGTTTTTTAAAGTTTCACTTTCCGGGTTGAGGTCTTCAGCGTTTAGGGTTTAGAGTTAAATGTCAGGTATGCCAGGGCCCTGAGCCACCAGCTGTTTCAGGATCTGCGCTTTGCACTATAGTCCTGTTTCGTGAAGGCTTGCTTCAAATTCAGTGGTGGGACAAAGTATATGTATACAGAGAGGGAAGAATAGGAAAGACAAAGTTGGTCTAGGGCTTAGGGCTTTTCGAAGAACGATATGGTTACTGTAGGAATAAGGACTTACGGGAACGAAGCTGGCCGAACATCTTTTTTTCGCGAACCTCCGCCTCCGCTTTAGACCAATAGACCAAGATGGACGTGGCTTAAAACAGGCTGGAACAGGCATTGGCGAAGCCCTACCTGGCTGAAACCCCGATACAACCTCATTGACGGGGGGATCTTGGTCTCCTGAGTTCCAAACCCAAACCCAAACCGCAGCTGCATTCTAGGGTTAGGGTTGAGGCTTGTAGGGTTGAGGGTGGAGGTTTCCAGGTCATGGGTTGAATGTCTAGGGCTTTATAATGGGTTGAGAGTTGCGACTGAGGAGTCAATAGGCTGGGAGTTCCTCGCAAAAGGCCCCCCAACTCCCAACCCCTAAACCCCTAAATCCGGTAAGGTGACCCCAGGGCCTTAACCCAAAACCCTTAACCCTAAACCCTAAACCCCCCAGAGCCAGTCTTTGAAACCCCAAGCCCCTCAGGAAATGCTTTGAGTAACGATACAAAAAGGGGACGTGGAGTTTAGGGTTTTGGGTTCTTGGGCACAAGAAAGGGCAGGATGAACATATCCCAAGATGAACCCAGAGAATAATTGCCCCACCTGCGGAAACCATAAGCTCTATAACGGTTTAGTGCTTAAAGTTGCACGACTGCGCCCTAATCCTGTATTCCTGGTAGCCCAGGTAAGGGCTAAAGTTGTCAGTCTTTGGGGTTTCTTTGTTTCTCGGATTTCGGGTACTCGACAGCCTATCGTCCCAGCCCAAACAGAGCCTGAATAGCAGCCACTATCATCCCAATACGAACACTGCTCAAAATGCCGAAATTCAGCTCGCAGGTGAGAAGCTCGGAGAACGGAGCGAAAGTGATCTTGGTGCGAATCGGAAATTAGCCCAGACAGCACACTCTGGCGAGAGCTGTCAAAAAGTTAAGAAGGCGTAAGTTTGCAGTTGATTTGACGTGGTACCTCGATTTTCGAGGCGGGGTTCATAAATTGCCGTTTCAGGGTTCCAAACCCACTCTTGTTTCATGGTTCGCACGCGTTCTCTCTCGCCCATTGCAGAGTCTGCAAAGCAGGCGGATAGGGTGTTCCCAGCCATTTTCATCTGGCCATGCGAGGGTTTGAGAGTCGAAATCGCTGACCGCAGACCCCTGAACCCCAGAGTAGGCAACCCCTGAGCCTTTCTTTGGGCGTCGTAACCCGTAGTTCCTTGTGTAATCCCAAAAGGTTGACCTTTCGTTTGTTTAGGATGCTGGGCAACCGCTAAACCCTACGCCCTAAACCCTAAGCCCTAACCCTAAACCCTAAACCCCAAGCCTTAACCCGTAAACCCTAAACCCCAAGCCGTAAACCCTAAACCCCAAACCCGCTACCGAAACCTTAAGTTCCCTCAGGAGTCTGCCAGCTTCAGCCCGGCGGTGTCCCTGGCGGATCGCAACCGCCTCGTGGAGGAGCTCCGGCAGGCGCAGAGAGTGCTTGCAGAAGCCTGCAGGGTTTGGGGTTTAGGGTTTAGGGTTTCGGGTTTAGGTTTTAGGGTTGGAGTGGAAGGGAAGAGCTCTAGGGTGTGAAGATGCCGTAGAGCACTTCTGGAAACGTTGCCCGCGAGGTCGTGCGCGGGAACCCCGGCTTTCCAGCTAAACCCTAAACCCTAAACCCTAAACCCTAAACCACACGGCCAGAGTGAAAGCTGGAGGTTCACCAGTTCCTCGCCCTCCAACATCGCTCTCAGCCACGGCAGCTGTGCATCCGCCCCTGGCGTCGCTCGTTTGCAGGGATCTGGAGGTGTGTGCTCGGGCCCGTCTTCGCTGGGATATGTAGGCCCTTGGGACATTTTGTATTTTCCCTTATTGGGTTTAAGGTTTAAGGTGGTCATATGCAGGAACATTCTTCAGAGGGTTGTAAGGGCCATCCTAGCTGTAGATGCGTTCCTCACTGGGCTTGTCCGAGCGGTTGAACTCCTGGACGAAACTGACAAATCCCGTGTCAAGACGATGTAGAAGGCGGGCCGCGCGCAACTCAGTGTTCCACGGTTTCTTTTACCCTTTCATACAGCCATCCAAAAGCACTCAACCTCCGGAACACATGCTCAAGGAAACCAGTTCCGGCAGTGCGACTTTCAGTCGGCTAGGCGAGCAACCCCAAACCTAAACCCGAAACCCCACAGGTTCATGGTACTTAGTAACCAATTGTAACTGTACTTATAACTGTACTTATAACCATATCGGGGCACTGAGGGGCTTATAAGTACAGTTATAATTGGTTAATAAGTACCATGAACCTTCAAGCAATCCCAAAGCAGGATCCCTGCGGAGCGGTTCAGCTAAGCGCCTGCCAAACACAACCCAGAGCTGTCAAAGGATACATCCCCTCCGTGCTCCAGCGCTGGCCCGTGCTGCAGCTGCACCCGGGCGCTCCGGAGAGCGAGTCGCGGCCGGGCTGGCGCATTCCCTCCCCGCCGCGAAGGACCGAAGCGCTGGGAAGCAACAACCCCCTTGGAACCCCCAAAACCTCAAACCCCCAAAAAAACCTTCGGAACACTTTTCCCCAGCCTGACACCATCTGGGCTCCGACGGCCTGAGGGCTGATTAGCAGATGGACACGGACTCAGGGATCAATGTTGCCCCGAAGCTTTGCTTTTTTCAATTGGCCTTAAGCCCCCGAGTCCCAAGCATCCCTGAGCCCTAAACACCCCGAGGAACTACCCTTAGCGGTTAGAAATGCTCCCTTTTGCAACCCCAAACGCATCCCCATCAAAACCTTAAATCATATACCGGATCCCTTATATAAAGTAAGCAAGAGTCCAAAGAAGCCCCTAAACCCTAAACCCTAAACCCTAAACCCTAAACCCTAAACCCTAAACCCTAAACCCTAAACCCTAAACCCTAAACCCTAAACCCTAAACCCTAAACCCTAAACCCTAAACCCTAAACCCTAAACCCTAAACCCTAAACCGCACAGAAACGACGCCCAGACCCAAGCAGGGCCTCGACACCGGGGCGGCCGCCGGCCCGAAGGACGCCCAGGGCGCCCTCGCCTCCTCTAGGCTCCGCTTTTGGGGTTTAGGTCTGGGATGATGAGTTATATACCAGCCGTCCTGAATAGGAATCAACATAGGGGGGTACTAGAATCCCCTATGTGGGGCTGCTAGTATAAGGGGGAACATCCACAGGTCCAGGGTCTAATTTCAATGTTGTTGTGTTTTTGCATTCGTGGGTTGCACGGCAGACCTGTTTGTTTCTGATCATTGCTATTGCAATTCTTCGTGTTCGTAGTTTTTGTGGGGGTTCGGGTGTTGGGTTTGGGGTTGTGGGTCCGTCCTCGACACCTCGCTGAGAGTTGACGGAAGCCTGTGTTTTGTTTTCAGGCTTCGGGGTCATGACTACAGTTTCTGATGGTGATAGTTAAAGTGATAGCAGAGGCAGTAGTAACAGTAGTAGCAGAGCAGTAGTAGGAACAGGAGTAGGAGTACGAGTAGGAGGAGGAATCAGAGTCATAAGGCATAAGAGTCTTAAGAATCATAAGAGAAGAGGAGGAGCAGCAAAAAGAGTAGAAAGAGCAAGAAGAGGAACAAGAGCAGCAAGGGTACAGAGGAGCCAGAGTGGCAAGAGCAAGCATAGGCATGCCTGCATCCCGAAGATTCCCGAAGCCCCGGAAGGTGGCCACGAGGCATTTTCCGACGATGAGATGCTCGTGGAGGCCGAGTCCGGGACGCCGATGGTGCAGCAGGTGCTGGCGCAGCCACTCGGGGTCCTCAGCAGATTGTTTAAGAGGGCTTCGGGTTCAGATTGTTTAAGAGGGCTTAGGGTTCAGATTGTTTAATTTAAGAGGGCTTAGGGTTCAGGGTGTAAGCGAATGGAGCTCTGGGGTGGTTTTGACAGCCTTTGCAGCACAACCTTGGTGTGAGAGCTCAAGCACTGGGCTGTGATGCTGCCCAGGCTTGTCTCTGGACGACTGGGCCCTGCCAACCCCATGCAGTCGCTGGACGACCTCCCGATCATCCCCAACTTCTTGGCCCACTCCCCCTTCGCGACGCGCAGCACCGAGTCCTCCGCGATGGCCGCAGCTGCCACGGCGCGCCTCCTCGCAGAGGTCCCCGTGTTCCCGGCCGACAAGAAGTCCGAGGAGCCCTGCACCATCTGCCGAGATGACATCCTCGTGGGCCAGGAGTGCCGTCGCCTGCCATGCCTGCATTTCTTTCACACGGAGTGCATCGACCGCTGGATCGCCGTGAAGGCCACCTGCCCCCTGTGCAACTTGAAGCTGGAGGACTTGCTCAAAGACCAGCATTCCTTGGAGAATGGTGAGGAGCCCCTACCCCGCTCGCGGCGCTCGCGGACCCGGTCTCGCTCGCCACCCGGGCCCCTCTCGAGGTCCCTGCTCGGCCGGAATGCGGGCGATGCCGGGATGAGTGGTGGGAGCGGGCCGAGCGGCCTCCAGCGAAGAACCCGCTGGGACCACGTCGGGAATGCGGAGGCCTACAACTACAACTACCAGCCCGCCTACCGGTCCGCGCGCTCGCCGCGGCCTGCTACAGGTTGGCCACCGCCCGGTACATGGAATCAAGCTGTCCAAAACCCCATGGGCCAGCCGAGAGCCTGGATGCAAAACCTGCAGGCCTTCGGGCAGCCCCACATCCCACACACACCTGCGGCCATGTCTCAAAGTCAGGGACGGCCGATGCCCACACCTCCACCCCCGCCACCAGATGCAAGACCACCAGCCTGGTCCCCTCCCATGATGCCAGTACCGGTGCCCATGCCCCTGTTCCAATCCAGGCCCATCCTTCGGCCCTTACCCCCAGGCTCTACTCCCATCCCACCACCCCCGCCGCCGCTGACGCGGCCTGTGGTGCCCATGCCGAGATCAAGGTCGCCTCACACCACAGGAGGGCCTGATTACATGTGGTAGCTCCTTCTAGCCAGCTCAAAACCGTGCCTGCAAATTGTCAGGCCTGGTACGCACACTGCAGCCTTCGGCCCTAGACCGCCCCAGCACCCTAGGACCCTATAGGACCCCCCAAAGCAAACAAAGACAACATAACAACGCCTCCTAGTCTGAGCCTGAAGATGGCGCCGAAGCGCTGTCTGCTGACCTGCCAAAAGATTGCTTGGGTATGTGAGGGTCTGCTCATGCCGCCTGGGCACCTACTGCCCCAGTGCGCGGCTTGTAGAGTCCAGGGCTTCAAGGCTTGCGAGCTTTCAAGCCCAAAGAGCCCACAACCCCTTAATTCAATCATATGAGGGATCCCTATATCAATGAAGGAATATCCCCCAAGCAAGGGATATGTGGGCTCTTTGGGAGCTTGGAGTGTCCAGGCGCAAATGCAGGCCCAAGCGCAGCAGGCCAGCGTGTGTGCTTGGGGGCGCCGACTGTGTTTTTCACCTGTGAGCTGGGGTTTCGGGTTTAGGGTTTAGGGTTTCGGGTTTCCGATTTCGTGGCCTCGCAGTGTTGAATTTCTCGCAGCCGCTGGCTTGCAGGCATGATGCAATGTAGCAGCGCTATTAAAAATCCGGAAGAGTGCGAAACATGGCTCTCCCAAGCAGGGAGTGGTTTTTTTAGTCTTCACAGTCCCCAGTCCCTATCTTGCCAAGATAGTGAACCAAACGTCCACCAGTTTGTAAGAGATGCTTACAAGCCCCACTGGTTGTTTGGGGTCCTTCCTTCCTCTACGCTTCACGCCGGCCGAGACCGTGCCTTCCAAAAGGCGTTTAACTCCCCATGACGCCGGGCCTCGTGCTGCGACCGGCGCCACCAGTGCTCGCGTACCTGGGCGCAAGGGTCGAGCTTTAGGAGCTTAGGGGGGAATGGGCAGGGGAAATGTTGGGGGCACATGTGGGCCTTGTGGAGCTTTCTACTTGGGGCTGTGGGGTTCTGCAGCTTCGCTTGGTCTTCGTTGTGGTGGCTTGGAGGCGTTCCGATCGGTTCGCTCTTTCTGGGCTAAAATCCTGCAAGGCCGAATCCCAAGCCTGGTCGCAGGCGGGAGTTTGCCACGCGCAAGCAGAACTTCCTGCACAAGCCGGACAAGAGCCCGAAGGCCCCCGATGCTTGGGGTCAAGGGGTGTTCTCTGGATTTCGGTTTTAAGAGTAGTGGGGTGTAAGCAAGAATTTCTCGATCATGACAAGGGCCGTCGTGAGGACGACAAGCACAGCTACTGCCACTAGCCCGCCTGGGGCGAGGCTGCTTGTTGTTTGCAGTGGCTTGGACTGTTTTCAGACCAGCCGTGCCAAGCTCTGACGCTTGCAAAGTAGATGCTTCGAGACATGGAGCCGTAAGTACTCGTGGATGTTGATTTCGTAGCCGGCATTTCAGGTGTCCAGGCTTGGGGTTCGTATGGTGGTTACGGCCCTGAGCCTCTATAGCCACTATAGTTTGCTCTGAAGATGCTGCATCCCCAAGAGCTGCAGCCCCCTACAAAGCCATCTGAAGCCTCTTGCGGCTTTCGGAGGGCGCCTGGGACCCGCGCGTCTGCGAGATCTGCGAGGCGCTGAACCGAAGGCAGCCTGACATTGAGTGGTCAACAAGACCCTAGACCCGCACCTCACAAAGGGCGCTAAACCCTGACTAAGCATGGACCCAGCCCTCAAAAGGGAAGCACTAACGGGGCCTGGGTAGTGAGGGCATGTGGCCCCCCCAAACCACTTTAGGCGCGGTGGGGGGCTCTGTGGCAGGTCCTTCTATTCTCCCGGATGGGATCAGGGATGGCCTTTCAGGCCAAGTTTCATCCCCATGTTCCCAGTACACCCCCACGAGGGCCAAGCTCACAAACCGTAATTATCCATGCTTGTATTTGTTGGCGCGTGTACGAAGTTAATTATAGTACTGAAACTGTGTGAGTGACATGAACCCTGGTTCAGCGAACTAAGTGAGCGAATGCAATGACCACGCCAAAGACCCTATGAGGCCACCGCGCCTGCAGGAGGGTGCGCCATAAATTCATTGAGATCTTCTGATCTTCGGTTTTTGCGGCCCGAAACCCCAAACCCCCTGCTTATGTGCCCCCTAGAAGCCTTTATCAACCGCCCTATAAACCCCTAAAAACCCCCCAAGCCCATCAACGCCCCCCGGCTTCCTTGGAGGGAGGACTTCTTCACCACCTCCTCCTGTTCGGGCCGATGCTTCCTGTGGCGAGGACGGCGCCCAGGCTTTGACTTTTGAGGCTTGAGGTATCTGAGGTTCGTGGCTTAGGTTTTTCGGCTGGGCTTAGGGTTTGCTTTCTTTGGGGTTTATTGGGGCCGCATCCTCCACGCGAGACGCCAAACCCGTCCACATCCTCGGCACAGGGCCGTGCCTGCCCCTGAAGCCCCACCCCCCTACCCCCAACCGAGGCACCACCAGCAGGGTGGCCGAGGCTCGTGCCAAGTATAGGGATTCTGCATCTTCGGCCTCGCCTGTCCCCTGTGTGAAGGGCTCTTTCGTCAGGTCAGAGCAGGAATGAACGAGAGGCCCAAGGCTTCGAGGTTGACAGCCCTTGATTCAGGAATATACCCTGTTTATGCTAAGGATCAGTATTATGAGTGAGGGTATATTCCTTTTAGGGAACCCCTAAACCCTAAACCCTAAACCCTAAACCCTAAATCCTAAACCCTAAACCCTAAACCCTAAACCCTAAACCCTAAACCCTAAACCCTAAACCCTAAACCCTAAACCCTGAACCCTGAACCCTAAACCCTTAGTTAAGGAGTTTTTGGAAGATCTGGGAGCTGCAGGCTTCCAGCGCCTGCGCGTGAGCCACGGCCCGGTCCAGGCGCCCGCGCGTCCGAGCGTCCTTCGGGCGGCGGGAGGTGTTTGGGCTGTTCTGGCTCACGGGCTTACGGGCTTAGGCCTGTAAACCCTAAACCCTAAACCCTAAACCCTAAACCCTAAACCCTTAACCCTTAACCCTTAACCCTAAAACCCTAAAACCCTAAAACCCTAAAACCCTAAAACCCTCAACCCGAAACCAAACAAAGCGCTTCAGGAGGACTTCTTCGACCTCAGTGGGTTGACAGGGGAGGGCTGGGGGCCCGTTTGGCTCTCGGTCCAGGCTGGGGCCCTCAGGAGCTTCGATTCATTGCAGGGGTTCCCAGTAGAAGGCTTAGGAACCACCAAGAAATATGAGAGGGAAATCTCTAGAGGGCGCGTTTAAGGAAGAATGTGGGTTCTTAAGCAAAACGGAGGGGGTGCTGTGATGTTTTTAGTGTGAGCGCCGAGGCCCTAAACCCTAAACCCCAAACCCTAAACCCTAAACCCCAAAACCAAAAGCACCTCAATTTCAAGGCCTTCATCCTCCATGTGTGCTGCCGGCAGCTGCGGTCTGCGAAGGAGCTGATTGCCAAGGCCTCCTCTGGCCCTCGTCGCAGTTTAGGGTTGAGGGTCTAGGGTTTACGGTTTAGGGTTTAGGGTTTCGGCGGGCTTAGGGTTGCTGAAAACAGCTGACCTCCAAACCTGAAAAACAGCCCCCATAACACCACGCCTTGCAGAAGTGCAGGCGAATGAAGTAGGTCTCTAAGGCAGCTCATGGTGTCCTTGCCTTAGGTGGACCGGCTGGATGAGTAAGAGACCTTGTACCTTCATGGCGGAAGAGAAGCCACTTAGGTTTTGCTTAACTTTTGGAATTTTCCAAGGAAGCCAGGAGCAAACCCTCAATTGGATCGGGCAGGCTGGCAGGCATTTTCAGCTGGCGGGGCTGTACTCCTGGCGCCAGGCGGGGGGCAAGCCCCTCGCAGAGAAGGGTGGGGTTATGGGTTTGGGTTTCTGGTCAACCTCCGAACGCTGAATCCGAAACCTTGCCCTACCCCCAAAATCTAAGGATGTTCCCCCTTTTTCTAACAGTCCTTAAGAGGGATCATAGTACCCCGTACTTGAATCATTAGAAGCCCTATTCAGGACTCTTAGTATAAGCTTCAACCCTCGGCGCTGAGCCCTCAGAAAGCAGCTCTCGCAAAACATCTCTCTCAATGGGAGAGCACCATCCTCGAACACTGAGCCTCGTAAGCTCATTCTGGAAGCTTCATGGGGAGTGGGCAGCAGCCTCACAAGCAAGCCGAAACAATGACTCTGAAAGAGGGTTGCCGTACTTTTCCTTTCAGAGCTGACCCCACACGCAACAGAAGCAACTATCGGTTTGGGTGGGGGGTTGAGTGCAAGTGTTCAAGGGTCTGGCATTCGTCCCTGCTGCTCCAAGCCAACCCGTAAGCCCCAAAGGCCTCCACAAGACTGGAGGGTTCTTGGGGAGAAAGTCGGCACTTCACTTCATCTTGTTTCTGGGGGCCCAAGAACAGCCAAGAACAGACTTCGTCGAGAAGCAAGTAGGTGTCTAGGAGACTGCGGACCAGCATCCCAACGGCCCTGAAGCCCTGAAGCCCTGAAGCCCTGAAACCCTGAAATCCTGAAACCCTCGGCACCCTGAACACTAAACGTCCCGCACCATTCCTGAGCCCTAGACACCTTGGCTTAGAAGTGTTACTGCCGAACCCAGGTTCATGGTGGAGATCCAGGGCGCTGAGCACATGGAGTTTCCAGTGCATCGGTTGTAGAAGAAGCAGCCCGAAACCCTAACCCTCGGGAACCTGAGCCCTGTAAGCCCACAACCCCAAAATCCTCAGCCCGAAATGTCCTTGACCGTTCTGACAGTTCCAGGTTTGAGCAACAAAAAACCGCACGGGGCCTAAAACATTAAATTCGGGGATTTGAAGCACGAGCCGCCGCTACTTAGTCGGGTTCTTGGCTCGATTGACTTCGTTCACGCATGATTTTCATCGCTGACAACGTTATCTTGCTTCGGCCTTCCCTGCGGTACGCTGGCAAAGAGCTTTTTGAAACTCGCCATTGAAACCAATACAAAGTGGAAGGATGACATGGAGTTGGCTTTGAGATTGGCTCGCTGGGTAGTCTTTCCGGGTCTGATCGATCACCCGGACGCGGCGTAGTCTTGGCCTAGCAGCGCAAACGAAGTGCACCGGCCTGTGAAGCACAGTCATCCAGACACAAGAAATGGCTGGGGCTGGGGTTTTTAGGGTTTAGGGTTTAGGGTTCCTTGTTTAAGGATGAGGGGGAATCTTTTCCGGTGGTCGGGTGGTCGCAGCGACAAGCCACTTGACTTCATGAGGTGAGCCGTGGGGGGCGGGCGCTGTTTGCGGGCCGGGAGCGCTGGCTGCAGAAGGCCCCAGCTTGGCAGAAGTGAGGGCTTAAGACCTAAACCTAAACCCTAAACCCTAAACCCTAAACCCTAAACCCTAAACCCTAAAGCCCATGAAAACCCTAAACCGTCGTGTTGCTGTCCTTCATGCATCTTTGTTGGCTTTTAGGTCTTCTTGGAGGCATTATGAGATTTCAGGCGGGAGGCTCCCAACAACTTCATCGGCTAAGTGGCCCCTTGTAGGGAGAAAGGAATCGAAAAGATGACAGGGCCCAGGACGCCAGACCCTGCTGTCGTCAACCCTGCATACTCACACTCCTTAAACTCCTGAAGCTCCCTAAACTCCCCAACTCCCCAAACTCCCTAAGCTCCCTAAATTCCCTAAACTCCCCAAAGCCCGCCCTTGGAGCACAGGTGGTCAACCAGAGGCTGCGGCAGAACTGGGCGCAGATGGCCGGCTTCTTGCGGGAGCTCCGGGCTTGGATGCCCGCCCCCTGGACCTTGAACAGTCTGGGGGGTTTAGGGTTTAGGGTTTAGGGTTTAGGGTTTGGGGTTTAGGGTTTGGGGGCTTTAGGGGTTGGGGTTTGGGGTTTAGGGTTTGGGGGCTTTAGGGTTTGGGGTTTGGGGGTTGGGGGGGTGAGGGTTTTGCCTGTGCCCGCTACTTGCGGATCAGAGAGGCTCGATGCGCCGTTTAGTTTAGATGCCTCTGCCCCCCAAGCATCAAGATGAGCACTTGACGCCATGGAGTTGCAATGACCCCCCAGCAGTGGCATATGAGAACAAACAAACATATGTCGACATAACTGACATAGACAGAAAGCACTTACGGCACAAGGATTTACTAGTAGAAGCAAGAAAAACAGGTCACTCATATGCCAATCTTATAGTGGCCCACCAAGGAGCGGGGGCTGCCTGAAGCAGGCGCTGTGGAGGATGCGGGGCCGCGGTGCCGAGGCGCAAGCTTTCTTTAGGGTTTAGGGTTTAGGGTTAGGGTTTGGGCTTAGGGTTAGGGTTTTAGGGTTTAGGGAGCCAAGTACGGCTGGAAAGGCTCGTGATATTGGCTTGCCCCCTGCCGACAACGTTTCTGAGGCATCGCGACGGACGACACCGCAGCAGCCAAGATCCGCGACTCTGGTGGAATCTGGTATTGTTCCACACCATCTGAGGTTGCTGTCAACCCTGGGTCGCCTGCAAGTGTGCTCAGCAGGAACAACAACAAACAGCCTCATTGCGGGATCCCTGCTTCCTCCCCCCCCCCCCCCCTCCGCCCCACCCAGGTGCTGAGCTGGCCCAGCGGCAGGGCCTTGCCATCTGTGGCTGCCAGCCTGCCCGCCTGCGAGTCCAGGCCCTTCAAAGGTTTAGGGTTTAGGGTTTAGGGTTTATGGTTTACGGGCTTCTTCCGGGAGGGGGGCTCGCGACTTGTAACTTAAATGTAGAACGACACAAATCTAGAACTACAGAAAGAAAGAAGTAAATAAAGACTGGACAGAAAGACAATAAATCAAACAAAGACAGAGAGACAATAAATCAAACAAAGACAGAGAGACTTCAATGCCCGCTACAGTAACCACATGATGCCAGACCTGTGGCAATCCAGACAGGGCGGAGGCCAACTGCATCCCATTTGTCAGGTTGAGCACTCATGCCTGCACAAGTACTTAAGCCCACTTATCCCAAATAGGGTTATTGTTGGGTATAGCCATGAGTACAGTTCAGCCTTAAACCCTAAACCCTTAACCCTGAACCCTAAACCCTAAACCCTAAACCCTAAACCCTCAGCTCCCCAACAAAATTTCCTGGAAGCACGCAGGACCCGGGCCTCGCCGAGCTGAGCCAGCAGGTGAGGCCATCCTGGCCCCCCGAAGAGGTTGTTAGGGGGGGGGGGTTTAGGGTTTGGGGTTTAGGGTTGGGGTTGGGAACCGTCCTTCATAGGGATTATAATGGGGGGGGGGGGGGGGTGCAATAAATAATCCCTTTCTAAGGACAATACAGTGAGATGGCAATGCATGTGACAGAAGTTATGGCCACCCAGAGATCCGCGCACTGGAGGGCCCTGACACCAGAATGCTCTCCAACCTGATTTTGCCCAGCCTTTCCTGGCTCAAGTGCCCCTCACGACCTCTTAAACTCTAAACGTGCCCCTGCGGGAGTTGGAAAAGGCTCTCGGAGCTGCCATGTAAACCATGTAGGCTCTGCAGCTTCTAAACAGAGACGAAAAGTTTGCAGCAGCAAGGCCTTAAAAAAGGTCAGAGCAGGATGCTTCTGGCTCAGCTCGGTAGATATGGTAGATAGAGGGTTTAGGGTTTAGGGTTTAGGGCTGCCTGCTGAAGGAGAGGGACGTCGTAGGCATGGCCACCCCTGAGCAGCAGCGCCGCATTGATGCCGAAGCGCGGCTGCTGCAGGCGGTCGTGAACGATGACGTGGAAGGCCCTGGGGGCCTCGCAAAGAGCCGACTCTGCACGTGAAAAGGGCACGCGGCGAAGCTGGAAGTCCTGAACCCTTTGACCACAGAATCTCGCACCCTAAGCCCTAAACCCGAAGCCCTAAACCCTAAAACGATGTTCATGGATCCCTGCTTGAGTGGTTCGTCCAGCTATGCGGGTGCCAAAACAAACCCTAAAACCTGAAGAGCCTAAACCCCTAGCCCTAGAGGCCTGGCACCTATCCTCCATGGTGACGTGCCGATGAAAGATCTGCTGCGCCTCCGCGTGGCTCGGCAAATGCCTTGAATTCAGATGAAGACCGTCAGTAATCGCAGAGCCGGTGCATGATGCAGAGCGCGCTCCTCCTGACGATGATGATGACGATGATGACGCTGAGGATGATGATGATGGAGATGATGCGGGTGATGCCTTACGTAGGGGGAATGTGCCTAAGGGGTCTTGGCAAGGTCGGGTGGTCGTGAAGGCTCTGAGGTCATGGGTGCGCTTAGGGCGATGATTCGGTGTCAGGGACTCTGAGGCCTGAAAGGTTCTGGCAGGAGGGGGGTTGCTTTCTTTGTCCCCCGACCTTTTAGGCGGAGCAGCCCCACCTAGGTCAAGCCCACCTACAACGACTGCACGGATGCACCTCGGATGCTCTGCGGTTTTCGCTCCGCGGATTCTTCCTGCTCAGTTCACCAAACTCCGCGGGGAAGGGAGGGTTTGAGGGGTTTGAAGCATGGAGCCAAATTTCGGACAGCTCGGGGCCACTCCTGAACTTAAGAAACGCCTGGACGTCTCACGTAGACGTCCACCCAGGACACGGGCTTCTACCACTCGATCGCCTCCTTCGGCCTCAGCATCTTGGGCACAACGTACGCAAATCCCTTAAAGTGCTGGTGGGAGGTGTGTGTGTGTGTGTGTGTGTGTGTGTGTGTGTCCCATTTGGGTGGTTGTCAAACTTATGGTCCCTTTTTGGATCCCCGTGGTACTATGGCACCTCATATTTAGGGTACCCGAAAAGGGATCATGATTTTGACAACCACCCCATTTGGAGGACCTTTATGCGTTCACCAAACCCTACTGCGGTCCGTCCCCTTCAAGGCTTCGGTCTTGGCGAGAATGCGGCGCAGCTTGCGAGGAGGACCATGGCACTCAGAGATTTTGACTTATAGTGCCGATTATGGGGACTTAGGGCCCCCCCACCATGGGTAGCTGTTTCAGAGTAGAGCTCCTTATGCCAAAAGGCTCTATAAGGTTTGTGGGTTTCATGCTCCTGTTGTTGTTAAAGGGCTTTGGCATGTTGAGAAGCGCTTCCACGTGGGCGAGGAATGACAGCATGGATGTGGCGGTTGCACTGGAGGCCCTTCTGGGGAATGGCACTCGGGTTTGGCCGGCAGTGCAGACTCCAGAAACACCAAGGGACCCTGAGCAGCCCTAAAGCAAAGCCGGCGGGCGCAACATGACCTAAACGAGCTTTCGGCAGGCAGTTGCGGATGGCGAGGGCCGCGGGCTCTACGAAAGTCGCCGCTCGGCGCCTGAGGTACCTTATAAGACTCTATGGTGAGATATCGAATGTTGAAGAATAGATTATGATACATCTTGAATATGGATAGACGGATCTTGTCTACACATGAGTAAGTAAGCCCTAGTCTCCTGGTTCTTAGTAGGGAATGAAACCCTAAACCCTAAACCCTAAACCCTAAACCCTAAACCCTAAACCCTAAACCCTAAACCCTAAACCCTAAACCCTAAACCCTAAACCCTAAACCCTAAACCCTAAACCCGTAGCCATTTTGGCTCAAGATAGATCCCTCGAAGAGGGCTGAGTGCCTCAGACCACTCAGCTTCGACAGCAAAGCACGCCACATACACGGCCGCAATTGCTGCGGCAGTCGCTGGAGGACTCGCCATTGTCAACGCGGATCCGGGTGCAGACGACAACTTGGCTGCCGCTGCAACAGCAGCCGGCACCTACGACCTCACGATGTTCAACCCATTGCCTGCCGTGGCATATGTGGCAGACTTCCCCATCGCCACCCTGCCCGCTGACGGGACCCGCGTTCAACTGCAGGACAGCGCAGGCAACTCTGCCTGGGCCACACTGGCCCCCGTGGTGCCAGGGCCCTGCGTCACAACAGCCGGCAGCCCCAACTGCTGGCAGGCTGTTCGGGTTTACAACCCGAATGGCGACGTTCGCCTCTACCTGTCAGCGCCGGGCGTGACGGCGCCAGGAGTGGGCGCGTGGGTAGCCGCGGCCCAGACACTGGTCGTGCCAGATGCGACAGTGCCGGTGGGCGCACAACTGGGCTCGACCGCCGTGACGTCTGTGACGGAGCTGGAGGTGCTGGAGTCAGAAATGGAGCAGCGGGACGCAGGCTGGGCTGAGCCAAATGGTGTCGGCTTGCAGAGCCACCAGTATCCGGTGGTGCCCGTGTCGTCGGCAAGGGGCTGGGTTTACCTCGAGAACCACGCCTCGGTCCCCGGCAATGCGAGGCGACTAGTTGACCAGGCCGTCTTCTCGCGCCGGCCTCCTTCTTCAACGATGACAAACATGGTCCTGTCTGCGGCCACCGGGGTGGTCGACGTGACGTACACGAGCAGGCAGGCACACTGGATGTCCCTGTCCAGGGGCCGCGCCAACCAGACAGTCCTGGCAGGGCCCATGTGGGTCGACTCCGGAGCCCGCCCTCCGGCAGTCAACTCCTGTGTTGTTAACGGCAGCATGACCCCCTGCCCTGGCATGGAGAGGCACAGACATGCAGGCCCGCATCAATGAATGCCCCCCCCCCACCTCCCAGAATGAGGTCCGGTTTGGTTCTTGGTTGTTGAGGTTTGCTGTTGGGTGTTTCTTGGGTTGTGGTGTTGCTTCGGGAAGGTGTGGGGACCATTATGACGGTATGATTTCCTCAACTGAATGCCGAAGGCGAGTTTTTAAGGGCGTTTCCATCAGGCCCGGGTTCTTTTCCACTTCTCCGAGACCGACCTACCGACCCCGCATTGCTGTGGCTAGATGGGTGCCAAAAAAAAACCCTAAACCCTAAACCCTAAAACCCTAAGAACCAGGCAGTAGAAGTGAATTTTCGAAGCTTGCCAGGCCTAGCCGCCTCGCCTGGATCCGAGTGTGAGAGTCGGCACCCCTCAACTCTCAACCCGAAGTCCCCCGCAATTCCATCTATATATCTATTTATCTATTTATTTATTTATGAATATATATATATATATAGTATGATTCATTGTATGTATGTATGTATGTATGTATGTATGTATGTACGTACGCATGTATGTATGTATGTATGTATACATATATATATATATGTAGAGAGAGAATCAGAAAATATTGGAACAGTAATTCACATACTCATGTTAACCCCCGAAGCCCTTAACTGCCCGAGATGCCCAGGCCTCGCTGCAGAAGCGGAGCTCCTGGCAGCCCCTCAGCTGGCAGCGAGAATCCCCTGCCCCCTAATATTTAGCCTTCCCCGCACTACCTCCGAATATTTGAAAACCTCCCATTAGAAGTACAATAGAGTATATGAAGGGGGTATTTAGTATCAGGGGGTAGGGGCGGGGGGGGAGGGGGTTATATCGGGGGGAGGGATGAGGGGAGAGGCTTGGATCCCAAGGGCTTGCTTGAAGCTTCACTTCAGCGGCAGGTGGAGGTGGGGCTACCATGTCCCACGGCTAACTGTTGGATCAGCCGTTGTTGGCCTGGGTGTCCTGCATAAACTGCAACCCGCCTGAAAGTTAGTGGCTGCTGTTCATGCACCTTCAGGTAGGTGGAGGGCGGAGTTGAGGGGCCAGGGGCTTCCCAAGTCCGTGGGTTTCGGGCACGAGGCCGCAAGCACCAAAAGCCCCACGCCCTCGCAACAGCGCCCTCTCATCCTCCTGGCCTCGCCCGAGAGCATGATTCGTCAGTTACGATGCTTTCTGACCACTTGGGTAGCTAGTGCCGCTTCCTCTCCGTGGTCAAAGTCTGCATCTTGTTGCCGCCCCCAAGCCGACCAGGCTATTCGGAGTGACAGCGGCGAGCAGGCTCTCAGCGGTAAAACCAAAACCCTAAAGTCGAAACTCCAGACCCCAGAGCTGTAGGGAGGCTCTTCGGGTATTGGGTGTGGGCTTGTGGGTGTAGGGTTTTGAAATCGACAGGGGATTTCGCTTCAGGGCGGGGCCCCTTCTTCTGGCGGGTCGGAGGCAGAGGCCTCGCATTTCCCAGCGCGCTCTGTCTTGACGACTCCTCTCCAGGTGCGGCAGATCATGAAGAAGAGCCACCCGGCGTCAGGGGCAGCACGCACTGCTAGCCTTGCTGGGTGTCCATGAGCCCCAAACGAACATAAACCCTAAAGCCCGAAAAAGACGTTCGCCCCCCTCGGCAGCCCCTGATTACCCAAGTCGACCCGGGAAGGCCAAACCAAAGAAGAGCCGAACCTCAGACTTCTATACCATGGTGACCTCGGATGTAGTTTGTCCTTTCCAACTGAGTGGACATATTGCAACCCTGCAGTGTCGTGCAAGCCAAGCAAGAGTGCATGGCACTAGCAGCACGCAAGAGTCAACTAGGCCCGTCGCCGCGGTGCTGCAGCAGTTCCGGGTGAGAGTGCCACTCAGACCCTGAGCCCTAAACATAAACCCTGAACCCTAAACCACCCTGAACTCTAAACCCTAAACCCTAAACCCTAAACCCTAAACCCTAAACCCTAAACCCTAAACCCTAAACCCTAAACCCTCGCGAGTGAGTGAGCAGCCAGTTTGAGAACACGAGTATCGACTTATCCGTAATCGCTTTGGCCTCAAGGTCTACAGAGGGGCCCAGGCCACAAGCAGTTGCGTTTTTGTTCAAAGCAAGCATGTATAGTGTACAGTCATAGGACACAGACTCCTATCAGAACTTGTCTTGTTGTTTGTTGTGTTGTTCCTGCTTGGTGGAAAAGAGAGCCCTGCGTAACCCCGCTGTGGAGCTTCCTGCCCACGCGAGGGTTATGAGCCCAACGCTAAGTAAAAGGGCCCTGTAGAAAGTAGACCTTGCCATGGCAAACTTCCCGAACCCTTTCTGGTCAGATGCAGTACAGCAGGAATTTCGCCGTGCACAACAGGTCGTGCAGGACGACCCTGGGGAACGAGGTGCAGCCATTAGGGAAGGCGATGAGTCAGAACGTGAACCGCCATATGAGCTTGGACCTCAAGCCCAGGAAACTCCTGAGGCCGCAGCAAGCACAGCCAGGGATGATGTGCCTCATGAACTAGCTCCGTGTCATGCAGAAGTACTTCGTATTGACCCTGTTGCGCTGGCGACACAGCCACAGGAACCGGAGGCACAGGTTGCCAGAGAAGCATCACCTGGACATTTTAGCGTTACAGGTTACAGCGAGTTTTCGGCCATGGAACGTGGGGCTATCAAAGCGGAAGATGACCGCGAGCTGGTTCCAGTACAGCCAGTGGCTACAGATCCCTTTGGCGATCTGGCGTCAATGCTACGGGTACTGATGCAAGGCCAGCAGTCTTTGGTGGAGCGAATGGATAAGCTGGAGAGCTCCAAAGCATCGTCATCGTCTGCAGGTGCAAGCCCTAGTGTCCCTGAGCCACGTCCGAAGGCTGTGTTTCCTCCTCAGTTCGTTGGCACACCAGCTGTGACAGGCAAGCCGGCTAACCTTGGGGAAACTGGGACGGGGTCGGGCGGGAGAGGGGGTCAAATGGGACCACCAACTGAGGCCCAGGCCCAGGCTCCAAGTGCGGGTGTGGTGGAAGTGGAAGGGTCAAAGTACGCCTGGCGAGTCACGCCCGAAGGATTGAAACTTGAGAAACAGGCCCCAACACGACCGGCAAGGGCCGTGTCCGTAGCTGAGGTCTTGAACCCAAGGGCTAGGTCACCCTTCGTACCCGTCACCCCCGATAAATCCCCAAAGCGAGGACGAGAGCCTAGGACTCGTAGTGATAGCCCTCAAAGAGCTCGTCAATCTGGAGGAGGCTGCTGCAAGCTTGTCAGGACCTCTTGACATGGGTAACTTTGGGTATGAGAACTATGTTCAGCTGTATCAAGATGCCTTGCGTCCCGGTGAGCCTCCACCCATTCCCGAATTCTTAAGAAAGCAGCCCGGTCAGGACAGAGGTAGAAGTAGCCCTGCTCGAAAGGTCGTAGGTGTCAGCAGTGGGTTGAAATACCCAATGAGCCCAGGAGGTACTGAAATTAGGCCACCCCCACCTCCAGGCCTTAGAGCTCAAGCCGAAATGCAACCTGAAGAACCCATCAAGTACGTGCCTGAGCTTCCTCAACTTGACAAGTATGATCCTACTAACTCCAGTATTACTGCAGGTGATTGGCTGGCAACGTTGGGTCCCACCATGTCGTTGTTGAGTCAGGGCGCGCGTGAGTGGTGGGGAGACGTGTTGCGTGAGGCGAAACAGTTGTACACACGTTGGCTACTCGCATCACCCCTCGACCGAATTAGTATTTACCCCGAAGCCCTTGTTGAACTTCACCAAACCGGTAGATTCAGTAGGGTAGAGCAGAAAGCAGTGCCCATGTTGCTGAAATGTGTTGGTGCAGATTTGCGTGAGGACATAGTTACGTCTAGATTGTTTTCGACCGCTGCAATCGTGTACAAGACCATGTGTAAGTACCAACCTGGGGGAAGTGCAGAGCGTGAACAACTGCTTAACTACATTACACACCCAGGAAGCAGTGCAACTGCACATGCCGCAGTCAAGGCTATCAGGAAATGGCGTCGTTGGATTGTCAGATCGACTGAGGTTGGCCTGAATCTCCCAGACCCGTCGTTGCAGGTGAAAGGTCTAGACAGTCTTCATCCTCCGAATTTGTCCACCTCTTCGTTGTTTCGCCTTCAAACCTTTAGGACGAACCACTTGCTTGACCAAGTTCCCAACCAGGATGCTGTCAGTAAGTACGCTGAGCTTTTGTTGGCCGAGTGCGAGGCTGCAGCATTAAGTGAGGACCCCAAGAAACATAAGGTTGCTCGGGTTGAGACGCCGGGTGGTGGGGAGTCCAAGGGGAAGGGTGCTGAGGCGAAGGGTGGTAGTAAGGGTGGAAAGGGCAATCCTAAGCCAGCATGCAAGCACTGGATGACTGAAGCTGGATGTCACTATGCCGATAAATGTCATTTTACGCATGCCCCCATAGGTAAGGGAACTGGCAGGTGTTTTCTATGCAGTGCCACTGGTCACATGAAAGATGCATGTCCCCACAAAAACCCTGAAGCTGCTAAGGTTGAGGATACCCTGCCCAAAGCCAAGGGTAAGGGGGGAACCAAGGGCGCTAAGAAGGCTGAGGCTGCAAGCGCCGCGGAGTCCGCCCAATCTGCTAGTGCAGGTTCGGGGGAGGGGCAGCTGGGAGCATCAAGCGCCCAAATGATGCAAGAGGCCACAAACTTGCTGCGGTCCCTACAGCTTAAAGCGCTCAATGTCGGCGCTGAGTTGGTGCCAGAATTGTTCCAAAACGACCGCGCGAGTTTTGAGCCATCTGACGCAGCCCATCTGGGCGTGCCGGATGGCCCGGGCCTTAGTTGCAAGTATGGCCTGATCGATTCCGGTGCAAGCGCGTGCCTTAGACCGAAGCTTGAGGGCGAGGACTTGAGGGCTCTCAGGAGACATGAAGTGAATCTCGCGTCAGGTTCCGCGATGTTATGGGTCAACTCACTAGGCACACTTGTCACTGACCAAGAGGCTGAGCCGATCGTTTCCCTAGGACAGCTTATCGAGCTTGGATGTCGGCTAGACTGGTCAGGTCGAAGGTGTGTGCTAGCTCACCCGCAACGCGGAAAGATTGAAGTTCTCACTACTTCTGGATGCCCCCGAGTGTCAGAAACTGAGGCATACAAGTTGATCGCCGAAATTGAGCAACATCGCATGTGGAGCTTCGCCAATGACCTGTGTGCACGAACGCTCGAAATCCGCACAGCGCACAACACCGAAATTGAGCTTTTAGACAAGTTGATTCACGACGTGCGGGTTGATGGGGACGTTGGTTCGGCTTTGCATGTTGCTGCAGGACGCATGTGGCCCCAAATCCCAAATGATGTGAAGTCCGCAGTCGCAGCGTGGCCAGAGCAGTCACATGAGACCTTAGTCTGGAATCGTAGGTTTAGGCGAAAACTTAAAAAGGCTGGGAAGGTAGTTCTTAACTTGTTTGCTGGAGAGAGCCGGCGGCAGATTGAGGATGCCGTGACAGCTGCAGGAGGTGTTTGTGTGTCGGTCGACCTAAAAGAAGACCTGATGAACCCGCTCACGTATAGGTACCGCCTTGAGTTAGTTTGTTCGGGGAAAGTCGATGCGGTGCTCGGGGGTCCGCCCTGTGGTCCATTCTCGAGGTGTCGGTTTCGGGAGGGAGGTCCACCCCCACTTCGAGCTCGCGATGGCCCCCATGTGCATGGTTTGCCCGGTTTGACTCCCTCTCAGCAGTCGCAGGTGTATGAATCTGATGTCCTTTTGCATCGCATGTACATGTTGGCATTGTTGGCATCACGAGCAGTTACCTGGATAGACGGGACAGCTGATGAGTGCATAAAACGCGTGGGAAGCACCTCGGCAGGGGATGCCGGTACCTACACGTTCAGGAGTCGATGTTGGGTGTTGTTTGAAAATCCCCAGGACCCTCAGTCGTACCTGAGCCCTGAGGTCATGGAGCATGAGGCCCCAGATGGATACCCTTCAATGTGGGCCACTCCGAGTTACCTAGCAGTTGAGCGATTGCTGGGGTTAAAGCAAATTCATGGGGATCAAGGACCGCTTGGCCACCCTAAAAGGAAGCCAACTACGTGGGCGTCCACACAGCCGATGAGCGCCATGAGTGTGAGGGGTCCGGGTTGGCAGGGTGAGGGAGTGGGTGATCCAAACCAATCCACTGTTGGGGAGTCTGCTCGATGGGCGGCATGGGCGCCAGGTGCATTGCGCATTGTGTGTGCTCAGCTTGAGGCCGTTGTGTCGGGGAGCCCCAAACTCAAACTTTCGAAGATTAGTTTTGAAACACATGTAAAGAATGGACATTGGCCACCTTTAAGGACATGCAGAGATTGTGTGATCGGGACCGCTACCCAAAGGCAACATAGACGAGTCCGCGCACCACAGGCCTTTGTATTGTCGCTTGATTGTCCAGGTCCGTACAAAAAGTCGCAGGACGAACTCAGTCATCGTAGGCGTTACCTCTTGACTGCGGTTTACACAGTTCCTGTTGACGTGCGTGGTCGGCCCTTGTTGGCAGAGTCCCAAACTCCGGCAAATCCTGATGAAGAGCGCGCTAGTCAGGTGGATTTGGGA